AAAAAAAACAAAAAGCTTACGACACTCGGTATTCCCAGGCGGTCACCCATCCAAGTACTAACCGAGCCCGACGTTGCTTAACTTCAGTGATCGGACGAGAACTGGTGCATTCAACGTGGTATGGCCGTAGGCATACCTCAACATTGTCAAACACTCTTATAAACTTCATTCTCGAACACTTCTACTTTATAATCTTTTTCTTTCTAACATATCCAAACAAGTACGATTTCGAATCAATAATCTCAAAAATAGATAAGGAGAAAATAGCTAGACTTGAAGTTCAAATCTACACATTAAATTAAAATCTTATAGATGGTGTCATAATATAATTTATTCTAACACATATAACGATTGCTATTGATCGTCAATGAAGAGCATTAACATGTTTTATTAACCAATTCAATTGACAACAATCACATGCTCGAATGTTGAGCCTTTAATGAAAATGCGATTGTGATAGACAATTTTCAAAGACAAGGATATTTTATTTATGCTACATTTTTTGTTAATTTCCTGTCATTTGAATTGATTATTAGAAAATTACAACCTCCAGAAGAAGAAGAATGAAAAGTTATTGGAAAAAGATCAATATTGAGTTTATCTATATGTATGTTTCTAATTTTAAACATTTTATAAAATTAATAAATAAAAAAATTCGTTTTATTCATATGTATGCGTAGTCAATCCTTTACTTTTTGTATATGTTAATTGTACAAAAATAAAAACATTTCATTGTTTACTCAATATATACTTAAATATAAGTTAAAAGAATTCTTTGATACATATCAATAAATAGAAACAAATGAAAAAAACTGTTGACATATGAAATAGTAATGTGCTTACAAATGATGTATGATACATCGATACTCATTCATCATTCTTTGCCATTACTCATGTGTCGATAATGGTTTCTTTTTCTTCTTTCCCGTTCCTTTCGTCGGTCGTCTCCTTGTGTTTGACATTATACTTCATTGCTTAGCAACGCCTCCACTAGGAAGAAATTTGAACAAATCGTTCGTTTATATTAGTTGATATTCGCATTTTCTCATTGGTATTTAAATATGAAGTAACGACAGAGAAAATGGTGGAGAAACAAAAAAAAGAAAAATATAACACTCGATACAGAAGAAGAAAATAAATAATGTGCGACATATTTTTCTTAAAAAAATTTACTTTTTCTTTTTCTTAATTATTCTAGATCTGATTAGATAATTGCTTCATGTGTTAGTAAAATCATCTGATGAGTTCAAATCAACAACAACTACTTGCTTGTCTTCATACTGGTCAGACAGTTGATATTCAACGATCAAATGGTCGTATACATCAAGCTGTTATAACACAAATTAATAATGAAACAAAAAGTGTTACAGTTGAATGGCAAGAAAAAAATGAAGGCAAAGGAAAAGAAGTCGATTTAGATGCAATTCTTTCACTTAATCCAAATCTTTTTACAGCCGTAACTAATCCATCAAATGGTGCTGTTGATCATGATGCAAATAATAATAATAGTGATCATTATACCAATGGTGGGACTGTTTCACATCCAAATCGTCGAACAAAACAACAAGGTGCTGGCGCTGCTACTGATTCAGATACTTCACGTAAACAAACTCAACCACCTGTTGCCGTTGCTGCTTCTCGTCCTGCAGTTATTCCAACAGCAGCTGCACAAGTTAATCCTGATGTATCTCCACAAAAACAACAACAACAACAACCACCAATTACAGCTGCTCAACAAGCACAAATAGATTCAAATAAATCGAAAGTTGTTAAAGAAATTGAACGTATAGCTGCTAATCGTGAACAACGTCGTATAAAACAAGATGAACGCCGACAAAAATTATCTGAAGTTGATCAATCTATTCCAGCATGGGAATTTCAAGCAATGGTTAGTGAATATAGACAACAACTTGATGTAAAATTATTAGCAATGAATGAACCACAAAAAGATTTAAAAATTTGTGTTTGTGTACGTAAAAGACCAATAACAAAAAAAGAATTAAGCAAAAAAGATATTGATGTATTAACAATACCAAATAAAGAACTTGTTATAGTGCATTTACCAAAAGTTAAAGTTGATTTAACAAAATATATTGATAATCAAAAATTTCGTTTCGATTATGGCTTTCATGAAACATGTAATAATGAACTTGTTTATCATTTTACTGCTCAACCATTAGTACATTCATTATTTCAAGGAAATAATCCATTGGTATTTGCCTATGGACAAACTGGTTCTGGTAAGTTGAAGAAAAATAATGAGAATATCTATAAAGGAAGTCATTTAATATACGAAAAAAATAGAGAAAGAGAAAGAAAGACAGGATGTGTTATTGTCTATTATAAATATTTGCTCATTTCTAATTTATATATGTTGATGTGATCAGCTTTGTTTACAATAGAAAGAAACTAATGATGTGCATGAGAGAAAATCTTTATGATCAGAAGAAACATACGAAGAATTAATTCTTAAAATTTTTTTTTTTTGTTTAGGTAAAACATATACAATGGGTGGTGATTTAAGTCAACGTGATGTCGATTTTTCCAAAGGAATCTATGCATTAACAGCTAATGATATTTTTCGTCATTTAAATAAATCTCAAAATAAAGGTCAATTTGATGTATATTGTACATTTTTTGAAATCTATTGTACCAAAGTATTTGATTTATTTAATGAAAAAAAACGTTTACGTGTATTAGAAGATCATAAAAATTTAGTACAAGTTGTTGGTAAAAAAGAAGAACAAGTTGAATCTGTTGAAGATGTTATGACATTAATTCGTCGTGGTATGAGTGTTCGTACATCAGGTACAACATCTGCTAATGAAAATTCATCACGATCACATGCAGTTTTTCAAATAACATTAAAGAAAAAAAATACGACGAAAGAATATGGAAAAATTTCTTTAATTGATTTAGCTGGTAGTGAACGTGGACGTGATACACAAACAAGTGATAAAACAACATTAATGGAAGGTGCACAAATTAATAAATCATTATTAACATTAAAAGAATGTATTCGATCATTAGGACGTAACGCTGAACATGTACCATTTCGTGGTTCAACATTAACAAAAGTTTTACGTGATTCATTTATTGGTGAACGATCAAAAGTTTGTATGATAGCAATGGTTTCACCAGGAAATAGTGATGCTGAACATACATTAAATACATTACGTTATGCAGATCGTGTTAAAGAATTAAATGTTGATGAACTTAAACAACGGGGCGGAGGAAATCTTCCTGGACAAGCTATGGGTGGACATGATGATATGGGTCAAGTCATTGATGAAGAAGATGAAATTGATGATGATGATGATATTGATGATTTAGCTGGAATGAATATAAATAATAATAATCAAGTTAATGTACCAACATCACGTATTGGTGGACAACAATCAAATATCCCTAAATTACAACAACAACCAGCAAGTAACAAACGACCTGTTGGACAAAATAAAAAATCTGATGCATCACGTAAATTTGAAGAAGCAATTGCACGTTCACAAGAAATTGAAGATTTAACATTAGAATCACATAATGAATTAATTGATGATTTACCACAAATTGTTGCTAATCATCAAAGTTTACTTGATTTATCAACTAATATGAATTATGATCGAGATGAATATGCAAAACAATTAATTAATCTTATTGATAGTCAACAACAACATTTAACTGAATTACGTAATAAAGCATTACAAATGCGAGAAGCTGTTGCTTATGAAGATTTATGTGCTAAAGGTTTATCATCAAAATGATAAAAAAAAATTTAGACAAACTTTCTTCTTTTTATGTTGCCGGTTTTTCTTTTCATTTTCTTTTCATTTTTCTTTTTTGTTCTATCCTTCGGTGATACCTTTTCGCCCGCCGCTGTCTATGAGTGTGTGTGTGTGTGTGTGTGTGTGTTAGTCTGATAAGAGGATTGCTGGTGTACAGAAAAATAAAATACGTATTCCAATATTTCATTTGTGTCTCACATATTGACCTTTTCATGTCTCTACTTTGTCCTTGTTTGTTCTTATTATTTGTCACATGAGTGTTACTGTTGTTGTTCTTTAAAATTATGAAGGCATTAATATAATATGACTAAATTTGTGAAATAATTAATAAGATTCGTTTTTTTTATGTTGAATGTGGGTGTAAGAGATTAAGGGTTTTGGGTGGGTTTTTTTAAATATATGGAATACATTTTTTGACTAATCATTTTAAAATAAAACCGTTCTTAAAGACAAGAATATCTCATCTAATCTATGTTACTATTCCAACTGATGAGAGTTATTCATCATTTGTATTTCTAGTCAAAACTATGAATATACTAGACTTACTTTGTATAATTACTTACCAATAAGGAATATTAAATATTATATAATTTCTTCCACTAGACCTCGAAAACTTGAAACAATATGTCGGTAAAGAAAAATTTATATTAGTTTTTTTATACAAATAAAAGTCTGCTGTAATACCTTCAATAACTTTATGAACTACCTTATTTGTTCAATCAATGATTTCGTGATATTTCAGTCATTCTCATGAAAATATATTAAAAGCTATAGTTGCCTTCTCTTACTTCATTTAAATCAGTAGTAAAAAAATATGCAACTTCGCGATCATTACAGATTCATTTACAGACGTTTTTTCTTCTTTGAACAAATACACGATAAAATAGATAATAGTGTCAAAAATATATTAACTGTTTTTCTTTGTCTTCTCATCCTTTTAGAAGAAGATCATAAACGAAGAAAAAGAAGTAATGTGATGATACCAGTTGTATTGCTCACTATATATGCCACTTATATCGTAGATGTGTATGGAAAAATTCGATACACCATAATTTCATCCATTTAGAACAATGATGCTGATAAAGTAATAAATATATATTATGCCGCTACTGAATGAGAAATTTTAATATGTCATTAATAAATCAAACTGATCATCATGGTTATTCTTGTCTTGAATGTGAAATTTGTTTAAAATCTTATACACAATTTTTAAATCTTTGTCGACACAAAAGAATACATATGGATTGTAGAATACAATTCGAATGTCAAATTTGTAAACAGACTTTTCACAATAGTTCAACATGTAATAAATATCGGTAAATAATTCAATTTATCTATCGATTAAATTTCTCCAAGAGTATGAGTGGTACGAATCAAGTCTGGCTTCAAGTCTAAAATTTTTAGAATCGATGAGCTATAAAGCATAGTTTCTTTTGTCTCTCGCTAGGTGTTTATATACAGATGTAATACAATCCATACTCAGTACTAAAGAACATATGAATAATTCGTTATGGAATATCAATGTTTCATTTTCTCTTCTTCAATCTTTATCACATTTGACTACCACGAATCCCTATATTAACAAAACATTATCTTCATTCTCATTACCTTTACCGTTGAACTCAAATGAACAGTCAATAGTGTCAAATGTCCTAATTCTCTATTATCGTTATTAGATGAAAATAAATATGCATGCATATATTGTGGAAAATCTGTTCCTCGTTCAACGAACTTAACTCGACATTTACATTAAGAGCATTAGAATTGATTTACAAAAGATAATAATTTTCTTGGGGCATTAAATGCAGAATAGAAACTTGTGGCAAAAACAGATAATATCCATAAGTTCGAAATCATCTTGTAGTTCATGTGAATTTATACTCAAAAAATGTTATCATCTAGACTGACTCATGATATTTGCTAAGGAACTTTAGTTCTATAAAGATGAATAATCAGGGGTTGAAAAATAAAAATCTGAGTAGATAGCATAGCAAATATATGTAGGTGATTATATTTTGATTGAAAGTCTTTATTTTTCTTTTAAAAAGCCCTATCATTGTACATATTGTGAATGATCTTTTTCAATATCATCTAATCTTCAACATCATGTATGTAATATACATAATCACGAAAAGCAATTCTCCTATCATCTTTGTAATCGTGATTTTACTCAACAAACAAAACTGAAAACGTCATTTAATTAAACATAAATATAATCTATCGAATGATACACTCCATCAATCTCATTTATCATCTATTTCATCCACAATTTCAAGTGCAGATTCTTCAATAATACAAAAAAAAAGATACGGAAATTAATTCGTTGGATGATTAAAACTTCTCAAATTAAAAATCATCAATCTGCTTGTTGTACTTTTTCTCATGTAAAATGCTAGTTGATTAATTATATTAAAACAATGTTCAATGATATTTATTGAATATGTGTTGTGATAAAAAAATACGAGTAGAGTTCTAATGATGATTTTATACATGAATTATTTGTCAGTATTGTTTTTCTCTTTTAAATAAAGTTCTTATTATTTTGACATGAATTATTGTTCGCTCATTATCCAACAAAATTCGTTTCTTATAGCAAATTTAACATATATAAATCACATATCAGAATCATTGTAGATTTTATAATTCATTAACATAACATGATATTTCATAAATTACGAAAAGGTTATTTCTTCAGAAGAATATTATTATAGAATGTTGTGCTTCTCTTGAATAAAACAGATTATTGCACATTTATGACAAAAATAATGCTCAATAAAAGTATTTCTGAAATTTCTGGTGTTCCAGTGGTAGTTTAAGCTCCGTTTTCGAGCATAAACATAACCGTACTATACAATTGACTATCAATATTAATTTATGATGAATTAAAAATACGTATTTATGGCAAAGTAAGTATGGTTGTGTATACTCTTGAAAATCCGACTTAAATTCTCATAAAAACGTCGAGAATTTCGAAGGTATTCTTGTGTAACATTATTTTCACTTGAAAAATAAAAATTGTTATTATTATGGAAAAAAGTACTAATAGATTTTAATTTTTCAGTGGATAGATGTGAGTATAGGTGAGGATGAGTGGATATTTTAGAATTATGATATATTCTCATTCACACCTATATCTCAGCTTGCTCTGGAAATTTCTTGAAAGGAAAAAGAAATATATTTATGTAGTAACAGAAAAAATATTTTCTTCTTAAAAAAAAAGAAATAAGAGAAATGTTTTGAAGAGCTTGCTATTGGTTAAAATGACGTGTATTTTATAGTATTCTCTTAGACATGGTTGTGTTTTAATCACAAAAAACATTTTTTTTCTTTCGTTTCTCTTGGTGAAATGTATAGTTGGAAAAAAACAACAAGCAGAATAGGAGGCGAGAGAAAAAGAAATAAAAATTTTGCCATTTGACAAAGGTAGCAAATGAATCATTCCGCCAAAAAAAACTGACGACATCGTTAATAATAAAAATGAAATTAAAATTTACATCAGTCTCGTAAGCCTCTCAGATCGTTTGCTTCAGTTATACTTGGTTGTGGTAAGTTATTTATTAAAATGATTTCAAGATCAAGCTATCGAATTTTGAATGACACATATCTGATATAAATATGCTTGGAATACGAGTACAAAATAGGATAGCAATAGTAACGTTAAATACTTGGCGACTTCATATTTGCGATCTATAATTATATATTTGCCATAGAGACATTGTTGGTCACCGCCTATGCTGATTCTCTGAAAGAGCTGAGAGAATCAACTTATTAGAAAAGGAGTATTCTACCAGAGAAAGTCTTGGTATTAAAATCGTCTTATTTCAAACAGACTTGATCATTTATATAGTTTTAGATCTGCAGCGTTAACTTTGTAATTCTTCTAGATTGTTCGTATCAGAGTTCAGTAGGAGTTGCAAGAAGCTTGATGAAAATAGATTATTGACAAATACTTTCACTCAAACGAAGTTCGAATTCTATCGGGTCTAAAGAAAACTTGTCGAGCTCTTTACCTACGTAATTCAATCTTGATGATATGGATGCGGGTGTCTCTTTTTTTTATATACTGACCCATCCACACCCACTTACACTGACTCAGATTCACTCACATCTACACCCACACCCTAGTGCACACGATTATAATCAGAAAGTCTGGCGCATGGATAGCTTTCATTAAAATTCAGTCGTCATGTGAATGTTACAACGAATTTTTATTATATTTGTAGAATATTTATTATACTTATTATTTGAAAATATTCTTTTATATAAACATGGCTTCAAGTGGAAATGCTGACGCACAACAGTATACACGTGTATCAGATATTGTCAAAGAACCGCAAAAAATGCTCATGCCAATTCGAGGATACGAAGAAATGCCAATAGTGCCATTGGAGGAAGCTGTTGCACCACTTGTTTCCATTTTACCTCAGATTCAAGACTATGCTTATGTTGCGAAGCAACGATGTGAATCTGTACCTCCGGATGATTTAACACAGGATGAATCAGCTTCAATCATGCTTTACTCAATGGAATGGGAACCACATGAAAAATGTTTATATTTTGCCCTGAATGCAACTCTTCGTACCGAAGATAGGCGAAAATTAAAACCATGGTTTTCGTATTTGAAACTTATTCTTACAGCACTTGAAAAATTACCATCCACACGATGCTATGTATTTCGCGGAGTGAATTTAAATTTAAGTGAACAATATACTGAAGGAAGAACATTTGTCTGGTGGGGATTTTCTTCATGTACAACATCGATGGGAGTACTTGAAAACGAACAATTTTTAGGCAAAACTGGCGAAAGAACAATGTTTAATATCGAATGTGATAGTGGCAAAGATATCAGTCGTCATTCGTATTTTCAATCGGAGAAAGAAGTTCTTCTTCTAGCAGCTCGACAATTTGAAGTAGTATCTTGTCTTCGACCAGCACTAGGCCTTTATATGATTCAATTAAAAGAAACAAAGCCTCCAATTACTCTTTTACAACCAGCTACGAAGCAGTCTGTGCAGATTAAATCATCATCAAGTAAGAGAAAAACTACTTCATCAGTTGAAATATAAAATGTTAGATATCGAACAATTTGGTAGGAAACTACTTATGAGTCTGGAAGTTATGATTATAGCTTATTTTCAAAGAATAAATTGTCATATAATCTCTGACTGAATTCTATATATGCTAAAATTTTTAACACAGCTATGTGATAGTTTGTTATGTAAAGGATAACAATCTTAGAAGTAAGATATAGATGGATATTTGGGCGTATTTACGACGCTTATGTTTGGTGTTTTTACTTTCCGAAAGAATTGCGAAACTAAATAGATTTCAAACAGTATGCTTTAAAACAGTACCAGTCAGAGTTTTAGATTGTACCATGTAGATAGCATTTCTCTTACAATAATAACCAACTTTTCAATATATTACAAGATTAGTTGAACATATCTGACAGTGAATGCCATGGAAAATAAAATAGATACTGTTACAAACAGCATAATAATAAAGGCTTCTCAATTGAGTTTAGTAATGGATCTGGTGTACTAAATGTGCTAGTTGAGACAGAGGAGTCTGCAAAGAATATTACTGTCTATAAGAATATAAATAAAATTTGTTCAAATGTAATAATCAATAAAAAACAATGATTCAAATCTCAAACAAACGGGAAAGCCTATTTATTTTTGTGTAAACTTGTGACTTTAGTGTCTTTATTATTGTAAGTTCTGATTTATTAATTTTCTAAAAATATATATGATGTATCTGTTGAAGAAATATAGTAAAATATATTTTAGAAGAGAAAAAACAACGAGCTGAAAAAAAACTATTATTTTTTTAGCTGATTTTTCAATCATTTATTAAATCATTTGCAAAAAACTTTATTATTTTTTTCTCTTTATCATTCTTGTTTATAGTTATTGAAGAGAAAAATATACCGCAAACAATGACTACTTCAGTTCCACCGAAGGCTAACAACGACAAAGATAGCGCTAGTTATATTACTAAGGATTCACCAAAATCAACATACGAAATTACAAAACCTGATACAACACCAGGTATGTTCTAATCGAACCAAATTCATAATAAAATTTGTTCTTAGATCTTCGCTAGTTCTTACCTCAACGGATTAAATATTTAGTTGACTATCTCGTTAGTGGAATGCAAAGATGAGAGAATGCATGATGAAGACGGCATAAAAGTTTTTGTAATCACTCTTTATATTGTCTTCAGTCGTTCTTTTCTTGTGATAGTAATGATTAGTTAGTATTCTGTTCATATATAGTATGATAAATCAATGAAATAAATTGTATTAGAAGATATAATCCGCTTAATATACCAATTGTTTAGTTTCTCAAAAATTTAATGTGAATCGATCATTAAATCCAAATTGATTACTTTGAAAGTGTTATCAAATACGCCATTTTGTTTTGTCATTATTTTGATTAGATAGATCTAGTTTTTAATGGATTCTTCACAAGTTTCCATGAGAGATTATGTCGTGACATAAGTTGTATCTGTTTTAAATAATAGTTAGCTATCCAAATTGTCTCATTTAGAAAACAATAAGTTTGAAAATGTTAATAAAATCATATTAATTCTGATAAAGATTATACCACTTAATTAGCAATTTGAAAGCTCCAGAGAAAAGCTGAAAAATGTAAAACGAATGATGAAAAGTTTTCTGTTTGCAACGCAAGACGACTATTCGCGATACATGATTCCTGTGGAACCTATTTTCTTAATTCATTTATGACGTAGTCAGGAAATCAACGTATACAGAGTGCAATAAGTTTTGCATCTAAGTGATAAAAAAGTTCTTACGCATACCTAAGAATAGATATCAAAAAATACAATCATCTTCAATGTTAAAACCGAAACTTAAATAAATTATTTGAAATATATTAGGACGTTTACTGCATTACGTCATGCGATGCTCACTACTTTTTGATACCTGATAGAATCCGACATACAGAAAGGCATTCATAGAAGAACTCTGCTGTAGTTTCGCCCAATTTCCATCCCCAACTTGCCCTAATGTCAATCGCTTAGTCGTAACAATTCTGAGATAAGGGATCATATCATGTTTCCAAGAGATTGCTAAAAGCAGATGAATGCGAACAACGTCTCTTTAGAATCGTAAGTATAGTGCTTATATAGTGCAATTTCTAGATGTGTCCAAATGACGTTGATCTTTAAGAGAAAAGACTTTTAATCTTAATTCTACACCACCAAAGTGTTAATATGCGATAGGAGTGATCCTGTATTAGTGAGATTATATCCCTATAAAGAAAAGGAAACTTTTTGTAATTTTCAAACTTACAAATATTTGACGTTTGATATCTGTAGATTTTGAAGTTTGACATCGATGAATCTGTGTAGCATATCTAGAAATAGTCACTTCTCTTTCTACATGCATCAAGAATTCTTCTCCAAGACTTTTTTTATAGAAAGAAAATTATCATCCGCATTTTTTATTAAGAAAAACAACAATTTGCGAAGCCTGATGTCTATAAGGCGCTTTATTGTAAAGGTCGTCATTGTACCAAGTGCGGTAGATGTCGTGACTGGTATTTTACTGGGGATGCAGAAACTTGGAAATGGATCCGCAATTACAAAAATTGGACAGAAGAAGATAAAAGTCGTTGGCTCCATGATCGCATTAAGCAAGACTTCGAGCGTCATGATAGTGGTACCTGTAGTAGTTTTGTTGATGCTGATTTTGGTCGTGTTATTAGTCATTTTTTTATTCATGATATTTGTGTGTGCGATGAAAATATTGTTATATGACTCATCACTATAAATAAAACTGCATGAGCTTCCATTTTTAGTTGGCATCAAGTTTAAAATTTTAACTGGTTATTGATACTGCTCACATAGGATGTTACGAAGTGGTGTTGTGTCAGTATAAAGAATAGCGGTTGCGTAGAGCAAGACGGATAGTTACAGTTTTGATTTAGTGATATCCTTACATTTTCTTTACCGTCGTCTATCAGCCAAGACCCGATATTTTAAGGGTGTATGTGAGCTGGTGATTTTTAAAATAAATATATTTTTTTTCGTGTACATGGTATTTTCAAAAACATTAGTCTTCGGTGAAAATTTCCATAGAGTCTTTATTTGATCGAAAATGTTTTATCGAGAAAGTTTAGTTTCGTTTTTAAGTTACAAGAAATATTTAGAAGATTTAGCTCAAGAAGTCAGTCGTTTTGAATTTCGTTTAAAAGAACAAGTCTTTATATTAAGGGGACTCCCCCTTCCCTGAGTGAATTTTTCGAAATTTATTTTTCACGTCTAGGTATATATATGGATGGTTTCTATATGCTGACTGTATTTGCCAAGCCGAAAACCTACCTTTTATTGGTGAAAAATCTCGAAAAGTTTTGTTTTTACTGTCAAAAAGTGCTAAAAATTGAACGAAAAACGCATTTTTCTCAAAATCCATTTTTTAGCAAAAATATAAGGTATTCCCCCCTTTTCTCCAAAACGGTTTAACCGATCGAGCTCGAAATTTTTTTGGTAGTACTTCAACGAAATTGTGGAGTGTTTTTTTTCCGTCAATATCTCTTACCAATCAAGTTTGACAGGTGTCACAAAAAATCTAGCATTCTGAAAAACCAGGTTTCCAATGAGATTTTCAGTATTTTGCTTCCCATTCCGTGAGTTTTTGGAATATTTAAAAAAAAAGAATACATCTCACAATTGGGGCTTGCCACCTGCATTATGAATTTCAGCTCAAAAAATTGAAATTTATGGATTTACCGGGGGAAACTGTAGGCTATTTTTGGACCTTGAAGTCTCCAGAAATCTATGAAGACGAGGTCTGGCAACTTTGAGTCTGCGACAATTTTTGCTCTACTACCTGAGATCTATCTACTCTGAAAGCCTCACGAATTTTCGCTTTGCCGTTTCCTAGAAACCCCGGAAAGAAAGGGATCCCTTTAAACTTCAAGATTGCTTTTAATATGTATTTCTAAACTATCTCTCATTGATAAGCATAAATACATCAAGTTGAATTATAATGATTTATATGATGTTTCGTGTGAATTATAAAAGTGAAAAGTATTTTAAATTTGAGTTTCAGTGATCTGATTAATAAGAGTGCGCGTATATGATCATTTGTTTCGAAATATTTCAATCAAAAAATAATGCTTTATAGAAGATACTACACTTTGTAAAGTACAACAAGTTGTTGTTGCGTAAAGATTGGTATGATGAGCGTGTTGCAGTTTATTGAGATATTGAAGTATTATCAAAGAAATCGTTTTAGTTGAGCAGAGTTTTTGCAATTTCTATGGAGGACGAAAGATTGTTTACAACAGCCGTTTATCTTTGAAGTATAGTGATAAATAGTAATGGGCCGAATGGAGTTAAAGAAAGAGTATGAAACCTAAGTCAATATTTCAGTTAGACCGTGTTCGGCTCGAGATGTATCGATTTGACATTGCTGGCATAGTAATGCTTATAAACGACAGAAGAAAGAGTCATTGACTCTTGAACATAAATAGAAAGGTTATCAATGTACATAAGTTAGCTTTAGCATAGACTTTATCAAAATTTATTATAATGATCTAAAAGATCACCAGCGATCTCTGCAAATCGTACTTAGACAATACTAAAAAGTGTAGTCATTTATGGTGGATACGGATGTAGTTGCGTGCAGAGATCAGCTAGTCAAAGACTTTCACCGATACCCTCACCTTCTCAAGCACACAATCATGAATATACTAGTTTTACTTTTCCTCATGTAAAGTTCTAGTTGATGGATCATATTGAAACAAATTTCAATGGTGTTCATTGAATATCTATTGTGATAATGATTAACATTGTTATTCAATGAGTACAAGACATGAGTAGAGTTCTGATGATCATTTTATACATGAATTACTTGTCACTATAATTTTTGTCTTTCAAATAAAGTTCTTATCATTTTGACATAAACTATTGTTTGCTTTAATTTGCAATTGTGAAATATTACAAAGCCTGTTGATTAATTTACTCTTTAATTATATAAACAATAGATTATTTATGTCTTCTCTGCTTCTGCATTATCAAATATAAATGGTTCATCATCTACCTTTTTTCACATATATATGCGTCATCATCTTTGTCATCAAGTATAAATAATTCATCTTCTTCTTCGCCAAACTCTCTATTATACTGTAGTGAACGAATACGTTATTTGTTAAAACATGAAAAACATGAATAAAGAAATGTGCCGAAAAGAAAACAAGTTATTTGAACCGATAACGAAAAAAATAGATATCTGTTACTGATTAAATAGTTTTATCCTCTTTCATATATTGATAAAGTTCTTTTGCCAATGTGTTATGTTGTTGCTGGAGTTCTTGATATCGTTGAGTATCTTGTTCATTTAACTGAAGAATATTACCCATATCTTGCATTGTGAAATATAATTTCATTATTTCCAACGCACGATCTTTTTTCTAAATAAAAATAATTAAAGACATTTTAGAAAAGAGATTAATGAAAACTATACGTCATTGAAACTTAAAGCCATGTTTCATCAAAAACTATCTATGGAAAGTATCGGGAAAATGAGCAAGACAAGATCATTTCAACTGAACAGCCAATAGCTTAAAAAGAGAAGGAGAAGGAAGAAAAACTGTTGATATGTTAGTTTTTTTTCTCGACAGGCAACTAAGCAGACTAAACTCTTGATTATGCTCATTTTTCTCCGGTTATATTTGAATATCGTCTGCACTGTTAGCACCTAATAGTCATCGGTTTTAGCGAAAATAAGAAAAAAATATCTAGGTAACGAATGTTTAACGTTCTTATTTGTAATTATCCTATGCAAGTAACGCTCGCCCGAGGACACGCTTAGCTCTTTCTCGTAGAAATGCATCGTATTCACACTTACTGGAAAAACAACTGAAAATCTTGCTCTCCTTTGTTTTTTTCTTACGCTTAGCATATACTCGCATCCTACTCAGAGGTAAACGTAGATCAAAACATATTTGAACTGTCGGTACTGGCGACTTGTCGAACTTGCCTTTAACGCGAATAAGTTAAGTATCAGTAATCTTATACGCAAGAAAGTCAACAGTTTATGGTTGCCACATTCTGCACCATAAATAGGGAACCTTTGGATACTCATAAAAATGCATTACACAAAAATTCGGTTTCTGTCAGTCCACTTCACTTCTCCCACTTGACATCCCCCCCCCCCTTCCAGTAGTCTGAGCAAATGAGGCGGACATTTGAATTCCCCGCATCGAAATACCTCAAGAAATGTCTTTCCCGGTAAATCGGTCTTCGATGTTTTTTTGACCCTGCGGACACACAATCAAGCAAGAAATCAGACAGCTTATGTTTACTAGACTCTTCTCTACAAAAAAGAGAAGATCTGGAAAGATCATACAAAATCTTCACACCTTAAGTAATAGAATAATTTAATGTAAACAATTCTTTATTTTCTATGAAAAAAAAAATCGCGAAATGTCCCGCATATGCCCTTTATCAAAAGAATTATACAACTATTTATAACAACTAAAATATAACTTTTTTTTCCTATATATAGTCTTTTATTAAAATAGCCACGTATTCTAAACCATCCAAATTTATATATATTCCAATCTTGACTAAATTCTCTAACCAGCTGTTGCATTTGCTTACAATGAATCTCACGAATTTTTGTCGAACACATTGATGAAATATGTTGATGTGACAACAAATCACAGGTGAGGTACATCATGTTAGTTATTTTTCGGCAGGTTTTCGTGATTGTATGTTGTTTACAATTAATTAAATAACTATATTTTAAATCTAGAATCTTTGCAATTTTTTTTATTTCCATTTTTTTCTTACTTTTTAATTCTTTTTTCTTTTCTTGTTGTTGTTGCTGCTCTTCATCACCTGTTGACCTATTTTAAAATCATATAAATATAATAAATAAGAAAAACTGTTTAAAGTGTGTGGGTGTGGGTGATGAATCGGAAGAATACACACACCTACATTCACATCCACACCCCTCTTTTGCGGAAAATTGGTCTTCGATGTTTTTTGACCCTGCGGACAGAGAAGCAAGCAAACAAACAGCGATTTATTGCGGCTAGACTCTTCTCTACGAGAAAGAGAATTATATAAACAAATAATATACGTACCACGGTTCTGCGTTCAGGAATTGATAGCCCTTTGAAAATAGCAAGTTTCGACGGCATTTTTGTTTTCAAATGAATCTAAAAAAAGAAAATAGTAATCTGTCTACATGAATATATGTAAATAAATTACTGTTTGTTTTCGCTTACACGTCGAATCTGACTATGGTTACTTGCTTAGCGGAGAAGGATATATACTGTTCGAGGTAAATCGTTATTCTGAGATGGATTAATCATACATTCTGTTTATAGTTTTTGGTAGAACAAATTAGAAACAACAGATAGATATGGAGAACATTGTCAATCTTTGCCTTTTGATTTTTCGTGTTTGCTAAGTTAGACTGACAACATCACTTACTAGTATGATATTTTTGTTGCAGATAAAACATAGATATATAGTTTTATACCGACTAAAATAAAGAGAGAGACAGCGAAAGATGAAAAAGGAGACCGTTCAAAGTAATATGTATCTGGATATATAATATAAATGTGAAACATTTCGATGCCCTTCAATAAACGAATAGGTGACTATAAACAAAGAAAAGTTAAACAAAACGATGAGTATAGAGAAAATTCAATACTAATTTTAGATGCAAAACTTATAAAAAGCACCTTGATGGAAAACAATAATAGCTTATTAACTGAACACATCTACTGCAACATTCAATATTTTTTAAATTGCCTTCTTTTAATAATTATTATTTAAACCTGGATGTTCATGATCATGAATAGCAGCTGAAAATAACTAATAAAAATACAAAAACCTCTTAATAAATTTTAATCTATTTTTCTTTCATACTAATGCAATAATTTCAATTTGTGCAAATATATTTAATAAACTACTTTTGATTAATAAGGGTGTGGGTGTAGTTCCATCTTTTATTTACCTACACCTCAACATGCCCTCAATTTTTCAGAATCTAATAATGAAAGATATTTAGACATTGAAGCAGTTTAGATCCTATCTTTTGGCGATAATTAGAGCTCGATGATTTGTGCCTTTGGTTCAGAAACATCCACTTGGTAAGCGATTCTTCTTGAAACAGTTAAGTTTTTTAATCTTCAACTACGACTTTCGCAAGATATGAGTGCTCTGTAGACAGCCTAGTCTAAATGAATCTTGATGAAGACAAAGCTTCGTATTAGAACTGATCGAAATAATTTTCCTGGAAAACTTGAATGTTTCAAGGAAAATGGAATGAGGGTAGAAATCCTTTTAAAATTCTCCATACCTCATCGAGCTCTGATTATCGCCTAGAGATAGGATTTAAACTACTCAAACACCTAAATATATTCCCTCAGAAGAAAGATCATGTAAAATAGATAGTATATCCTTCGGTGTTCAACATGTAATTCTTAAGTTGAGGTCTATTGAAACTTTTAGTATTTTTTCAATCTTATCTTTGTAAATATTATCAATAATAAATGTGTCTAATAAATGTAATGAGAAGACAAGTTGTACATAGAAAACTAAAAATAATGATGATAAATTACAGCTAGAAGAAATTGAAAAAATAAGAAGAAAAAGTATTATTTCAAACGATTAAAATCAAGCCAGTATAAATCATCTATATTGTATTGAGAGCACGCATCAGAATTTGTCTAAAAAGATATTAATTTCAAAATAAATTGAATGTTTGCAAAATAAACCTAATGATATCACAAATGAATTTGAAGAATATAAATATTTGATAATAAATTCGACGCTATAATCATCCGTAATTTTTTACTTTTTTGTAAATATATTCCTTTTCTACTCAATAATAAATATAGATTAATATTTACATATATGACATTAGTTTATTTTTATTAAAAATATGATTAGAAAAGAATTTAACATTTCTTTTGTGCATCATACGGAAGGCAAACGATTAAGTAATACTTCTTGTTGTGATCGTTTTTTTAAATAATTTTTTGCTTTTTCAACATATGTTTCTAAATATTGAAAATTGAGTTTTAAAGGCTTTCTTTGAAGCCAAACTTGTTGAATATCTCCCTCTTTAGATATTTGTCGCCATGTTTCTAAATTTAATTGTAAATCATATTGCCATGGAAATGTACTCGTCGTTTTTGGCGATATAAGTTTTGCAGTATTTTCAAGTGAATCCACTTGAAGTACTTTCGATAAAACATCAAACTATAAATAAGAAAAATTTAGATAGTCCTAATTTTTTTAATCAATTTTCACAAGAGTAGATCATAAGAATCTACATTATTTTAAGGAAAAATAAGTTAACTTACTGTTGGACAAACAATATGTGAAATAAATCCTATTTGTAATTGTGCAATATCCGTTGATTCTCGATCAAATGTTGATTTACTATCATCATAATGTATTTTTTCTAGATCACCTTGCATAAAAAATTCTTCCATTATTTTTTCAGCTGATTGAATATAAACTGGCCATGGTTTAGCAGCATTTGAAATATCAGCAGCATGTAACAATGTTTGTAATAATGTTTTCGAATCTGTCACAGTTGTTGTACCATTTGTTTCTTTGAAAAAGAAATATGTTGACATACGTTCAACAAGTGATGCATGATTTGCCATATCAGTTGCAAGTACAAGAGATATAACAAGTGAACGAAATGTTCGATATTCCTCAATAGTCATATTTGACCAAATATTAAAACGTTTATCACGTAAAAGTTTAAATATGGAACTTGAATGATGATTTTCTAGAAAACAAAAAAAATTCAAACAGATTCTTAAAATTTCTATAGCATACCTAATACACTAGAATCATTATAAATCAATGCTAAATCACTTCTCGTTTTAACAAGATAATTATTATTTACACCTGGATGTTCATAATCATGAATAGCAGCTGCGAATAACTATAATAAAAATACAAAAATCTCTTAATAAATTTTGATTTATTTTTCTTTCTTACTAATGCAGTAATTTCAATTTGTGCAAATACATTCAATAAACTACTTTTGATTAATAAACAATGTGTTGTCTGAAGAACATCAGCTCCATGATAATCATTATGATATGCGGGTCGAAATTCTAAAGTAAAAAAAACAACGATTATCTTATTATTTTATTTCTATCTGATATTACTTGTATAGCCTTCAGTAAGTGCACGACCAAAATTTTTCAATACATCAATATCAATTCGATAACGTGATATAATATCATGTGCATCAAATACAAGTAGAAGAGTAAGTAAAATTGGATCACTGTATTCCATAATATTAAATGACCAAAGATTTAATTTATTAATATCAGCAGGTAAATCAAATATAACATCTAAACGTTCTTTTGTATGTTGACGTAATTGTCTTTGTAATGCATTAACAAATGATGATGCTTGAATAATCGCTTTTATAGATTCAAAACGTCCTGTTGCTGTTATTGAACGTTGTTGTTTAGATGAAAATGTTTGTTCTAACCATTTACTTATTTCTCCATCATTTGATGTTATATTTATTTCACTTTGTCGTGTATCATCAGATAGAATATCAACAAGATTATAAAGAATTCCTTCGGAAAAAAAATAAAATAAAATATTCAAAATTTTTCTGCTTTTGAAATAAAAAAATAAATGGAATATTTGACATATGTCAAATACAGAATAAAAAATGAGAAAATTTTAAATTTCTATTATCTACGTATACAATTTTTTTAACTTACCATCAAGTTCTTTACCAATATTACCCAATATTTCTACATGTTCTAACATACCTATAAAATTAAAAGTAAATTTTGTTGATATTTATTATAACATTTATGACATGCCATCATTAGCTAAGCTTAATTTAACTTTGTGTACTTGTTCTGTAGCCATACGAAGACGACCAAGAATACTGACTGTTGTCATTGAGGAATGTTCTGGTTTTTCTCTTGCAAAATTATTTAATCTATTCATCTTATTGGAAATTGAAATGAAAATATGTGTGTGTTTGTGTATAATAAAATTTATCTAAAATATTAGCTATCTATCTTCCATCTATATGTGTGGTAAGAAAAAAAAAGGATAAGTAATTTCCAAGACACGGAAAAGAGAAAAGAAAGGATATATAAATTCATTATTAAATATAAAAGACTTTAGGCATTACGAGTTGTCATTTATTAGAAACTAAGTAGACGAGTAGAGTAAAAAAAAATACTAGAAAAAAAAACCATGAAATATTTTTCCTCATTAGAAATGCTTGACTTTATTCTCGAAAAAATAAAAGCAATTCTATTATAATCATATTCTATATTAATTTCATCTATATTAGCAATTGATTCATTTCATCAACTTGTTATTGTTGTTATTATATTCTATCTCCATTAGTTTGCTATTGATACTCTGACTAATCTCTTTTTTTCCATCCTTTCTTTTCTAGGAAATGAAACTATATAAAGGGAAAAAAATAACAAATATGAGAAAACAATATCCGACGTACCATACTACCCAAAGAAGTTTCAAATATCATTCAAAGAGCTTGATGACATATAAAATCAATATATATATACACATTAAAACGAAGAAAAGTAATAAAATGAAAATATCATTTACTATCGATTTTCTTTTTCATTTGTAATTTAGTTTATCCTCTTATCTCTAAGAAGGGATATTAAACGTAATTATATTGATGAAAAGAAACAATTTTTCTATAGTTAAAGTAGAATTACGTGGTAACAATCTTAAATTTTTAAATTATATTTTACCAACTGAATTAGTTGATTTTCCGTGTAAAATATGAACTAAACGATTCGATAAGCGGATATCGTATGTTTTCTATTTTATCGACTTGTAAGACGAACTAATGAACGTTTAATGGTTGATATGAAATACTAATGGTAACAATTAAATTGGATTCATGCTAAGATGTGTTATCATATATAAGAGTTCATTTTAGATTGGATTACAATAAATTGATTGATATCAAACTTCATAGAAGACCCATATATAACAATTCTAATTTAGATTCATAAGAAAATAACTATTAAGTTTCAATATTTCTGATACAAATACTAATTGATATCAATTGATCAAGATTCAACAAATAAATAATTTAACTTGTGCATTTATGTAATACTATTAACGAAACAAATCTAATCTATTGAAGATTTTTAATGATAGACTAAATATGTCTTCTAAATAATTTAATTTCGATTATATTTATTAAAAAAACAGTGGTATATAATCAAAGAGAAATAAATTCAATCATTTTAGAAGATCAAAGAGAAAAAAAGCTAATAAATTTTCCTCTTCGATAAATATTTGTATATGTATGTAATAAAATTATTGAAAATTAAATTATCATCTTTAAAATATATCTCGCTAATGCTTTTCCATTATTCGATAGATGTCAGTCATATTATGGAAACACACTTTAGAATATAATGATGGTTATTTTTTTTGACGAATCAATATAAGATCATTGTCCATTTTTAGTTCAAATGAGAGAGAGAAGAAAAGGAATGAAAATATGGCATCGACATATTTTCTTTCTTTGTCAATTGACTCTTCATCAATGTACTTCCGATTATTCACATAATAGAGATTTGTATGTAATCATTTTTAATGTCTCCTATTACTATTATTTTTAAATAATTTTTAAGAGAGAGAGTAAGAAAAAAGAAAAATAAAGTCTCATATGCATGTTAGTTATCGACATTATCATGACAACTGTTTGTCCTTGATGTTAGTCTTTGTCATTGGTATATACGTAGGTGCAGATAGACATAGTACGGTCGAATGACGTATACCAATTGCATTAAAGATGGCAACAACGACATCGACAAAAAAAGAAAAATGTGTGTATGTGTGCTATTATTGACGCTGTTGTTTCGACTGAGTTATTTGTTGTTGTTTATTCGATTTCCATCGACTGCTTATCAGGAATGTCGTCGAAGCAATACTTTACATAATGAAGATATCAGAGCAAATTTCTTTTCTTGTTCTCTTGTATCGAGATTTCTTTACTTATTCTTCCTCACTATTTAGCAGTCGATTCAGAAAATAAGAAAAGAGAAGTCATTACCACCTTTCTTCTTTCTCTCTATGTGTAGATCTCTGTTGGGTGTCATCTTCTATTCTTCTCTGTTTCTTGTTTATCTGACAGTACCATCGTGTCTATTTTCTTTGCCTTGATAATCAAACGACATTCAGGGGAAAAGAAAGAAAAGATTGAGCGACATAAAAACTATCATTAGTCGTTTTTTCTTGTAGATGTATGATGTCGACTATTGAAACAAATCTTAAGAATTCGCCGATTATATCTACATCGGGTACATCATCATTATCTGCACAACATATAACTCCACCACCACCATTATTATTACCGATTGCAGCACCGTTAACACCAACAACATCATCATCACCATCGACGCCATCGCCATCACCATTTTATGATGATAGACCAACTGAAAAATACTATAAAAAAGAAAAACAAATTTTAATTGAATTTGATCAAATTGTTAAAGGTAAAATAAACAAATGTTTTTTTTATTATTAAATATTTTTCTAATTTAGTACGTTAGAAAAATTTACCCTTTTTCTTTGACATATTAGTAGTACTGAGAATGCAAATATGGAGGAGGAAAGATATCAAGTTCGAAAAGAGGCAAACCATCGACATATATACATCTTTTTCCATCTTTCATCAAATATCTTACGTTCGTATAGAATATTATATATCAACAACAATCGTACGTGAGATGTAATGCCTTACTCTTGTCGTCCATTGACATGAATAGACGTTGTTGATGATGATGATGAATTGAAGTCAACAAGTCAAGATTAAAAAAAAAAGAAATATGAGATTGATTTATGTATAGAAAATGACAAAAGAAGGAAATAAATGCGAAAGATCATTATTGAACGAAGTCAATAACATGACAACCCTGAAGCTATTATTGAAAGATTTTATTAGGAAGCTTGTTGAATCACGCATTAATATTGCAACGGATATTATTATTTATTAAGAACTTCCAATACATGTTTCCTTTTTTTCTACATTATGATAATTGAATATCGTTTCTTTTTTTTTGCTAAACATACTCAATTATAAATCATCATCAATACATCGTTTTATCATATGAGAAATCAAAAAATAATAATAATCAAAAGACTATCCCATCCTCTAATGAACACCTTTCCAAAACAATACGAGACAGAAAAGAAAATGAATGAATGAATGAATGAGGGGAGGTGGTAACCGCCCAATAATGTTGAACATGTTTTGCTTCAATACAGTTCAAAATATATAGACATAAAAACAATTGCTTGTCATTATTCTCTTAGCGAATAGACATAGAATGGTGAATTATACTTGTGGAGTAAAATCAACAAAAACTACATTTCATCATTCAACAAATTTACAATTGAGTTTACTAAAAAAATCTTATACACGTTATAGATTTCGTAGGAGAATTTTCTTAACTGAAAAAAATATATATACAATTCTTTTTTTTCTCTTTTATTAGAAATTCGTTATCAATTAAATGAACAATTAAAATATTTGGAACAACGTATTGATACTCAATTATCAATACTTGCAGAAATTCAAGAATATTTTCGTCGTCGAGCTGATGTTGAACTTGATTATGCAAAAAATTTAGATAATTTACATAGACAAATTGGTCAAAAACATCGTGCACAAAAAGCAAAGTTTGAAAATATTTCTTTGAGAAAAAAAAACGATCATTTGATTTTTTTTGTTATTGTCTGAATAGACGAGAACCTTGGGTCTTTCATTCTATTTCTAAACTTTGGGAAACAATTGTTCAAGATACTCGTACTCATGTTAAATATCATACGATTATGTCTGATGTTTGTGGAAAATATATGTTTGATAAATTTAATGAAATAGTCGAAGATACTCGACGAATGTTGATGAAAGTAAAAAACTACTAAAATAAAAATGTTTATTTATTTTGTCGTTTTCTCTCTCCTATAGTGTAAATCAGTTGGTATTGCCAGTCATGAAGATATATATAAGGTTCTTAATGAATTAAAGAGTGTAAGTAATGTTTTTTTGATTATCTTGTTTAGTGGTTGTTTATTTAGACAATGACAACTTATCATCAATATCAAAGTGAAAGTAAACAAGCAGAACAAAAACTAAGAACTATTCAACAACAACTGGCAAAAATCAAAAGTGTTAAAAAACAAAAAGCAATGGGAAAACGAGTTGAAAAGGTATAAGTTTTGTTAACATACTATCTATTTATGTAAACAACATTTTCCCTTGAAACTCATTAATATAATTAATGATATTAGAATTCTTTTCACACCTAATATACGATACCAAATTGCTAGTATGTAATAGAGAAAATATTTCAAGATACTACTGATAAGCTCCTAATTCCCATACAGAACTTTCTAGTCAAAGTATACTATAACTTAATTATTATTCGATTGCCTAGAAAATATGTAGAATATGCTGTTGTCGAGTTTTGTTGAAAATGTCAAGTATCATTTTTTGACATACTCGCGATTGTTGATAGCTGTTTAGCTTGGGGATTATTGATAGAAAGAAGCTGCCTAAGAAACAATGTACTTATATAATTAATTCCAAAAGAATTTCTTATTTATAGAGACAAATGAAATATACTGAAACAAAAGTAAAAGCATTTAAAGCACGTAATGATTATTTAATGACAATTGAATCAGTCAATGCAGCTCTACAAAAATATTGTTGTGATGATGTACCTGATTTAATTGATTGTATGAATTTTGGTTTTCATACATCCATTGCTAAATCTATACAAATGTATTTATCAGCACAAGAAAATATTAAACGTGGTCGACAAATGTAAAAACTTCTTTTTTTGTTTTATTTTCTTAATAATTTATTCTTTTTTTTTATTTAAGAACAATTGAAACATTAAATCGAGCCATTGGAGATTTAGATACGGTTGTTGATAAACAAAAATATCTAGAAAATTATCCATCTATATTTACAATAACAAAACGAATTAAATTTGAACCACATAAAGGTGATGAAGTATCTGCTGTTAATGCTCAAGTATTAATACGTGATGAAATGCAATCACGTTTTATACAAATGCAAAATCGTCTTGCTTCATTAAAAACCGAACATGATGAGGTTTGTATTGATTTTTTATACACGAATAAACTGCTCGAGGTCTTTCATTGCAAAAGATAATATTAATCAATGAGTAGAAAATTGATGACGATATATCAACTGATAATCTTGAATAGATTTTCCTTAGGCAAGGACAAAATATAGTTATAGAATTATGATTAAATTATATACACATGATTGCATTTACCGTTTTCAATGAAAAGAATATGAATTTCATTTCATGCTAATGAAAATGATTAGTACAAGTATTTACTAGATATAATTCAAATGTGTACTTATCTATCCTTGAAGATAATCATGGTGTATACTTCACTGAATGCATTATAAAATAGATTTTATTGGGATCATTTATTGTTCGATATGTACTAATGATAAAAGGTAAGAAGACGAAAGACCTTGTCTGAATTGCTATTACAAATTAAGCATATATTTATATTTATATCATCAAAGATATCTTATTGATAATTATGAATTTCTATTTTTATCTCTCATAGATATTTAAAACAATTGAAGCAACTGAACAATCATTAATGGAATATATTAATACAAAAAATTCCGATGTTTCCGATCTTTTCAAAGATCTAAATTTACCACAAAATACTTCAAAAAATACACGAAAAGAAATTGAAGATTATTATGTTGAGGTATAAATAAAAAAAATATGTCATTTTTAAAATCCTTTATTTCTTTTTTCTATATAGAAATTCAAAGAATATACTTTAAGTAGTAATCTTATTGCACGTTTACAAGCACGACATGATATTATGCAAAAAGCATTGGGTGCTGCATCGGCTGGTAGTGCTGAAGATAAAAAGTATGATACATTAGATTTTTCTGAAGAATTAAAATTCATTAGTTCAAAATTTCATAATGCCCTTTTATACGACAAAATTGATTTAGACAGAAGGATCGCAAGTACATTTTTACTGAAATTCTATCGTTCTGATTTGCGTATGATAATAATAGATCGTAGTTCTCATATAATTATTTATTAAACAAGATATATTTTTGTTTATCTTGTAATTTGAATAATTTTCTAAATAATATTTTATCGTGAAATTTAGTCTTATACGTCGTCCAATAAAACCAAAACAAATTGGTCGTGCACCCATACTTGGTCGTCCACGTTTATTTGGTGGTAAACTATTAGATTATATTCAAGTTACACAACAACCTATTCCATTAATTATTTCATCATGTGTTAGTGCTATCAATCGACTTGGTTTACATAATCAAGTATGAAATTTTTATCAACGAAAAAAAAACACATTTGTATTCGAATGATTTTTATTTAGGGTATTTTTCGTGTACCCGGTGCACAAGTTGATATCAATCAATTTAAAGATGCTTTTGAAAAAGGTGAAGATCCATTGGTTAATGTAACTGGTCGTGATATGAATTCAGTAGCTGGTGTATTAAAATTATATTTTCGTGAATTAAAAGAACCATTATTTGCTCGAGAAATGTTTGATTCATTTATTTTATGTATAGGTATGTAAATATATATATATGGAAAATAGAAAAAATATGAATCTATTCTATTTAGTTGATGTTGAATCGGAAGATAAATGTGTAGAAAATCTTTGTCAAGTTGTGAAACTTCTACCTCGTCCAATATATATTGTTATGCGTTATTTTTTTGCATTTCTTAATCAGTAAGTTTTATTAATTGGTTGATTAATAATAAAAATCAAAAATTTATTATAGTCTAACAGAATATTCTGATGAAAATATGATGGATGCATCAAATTTAGCTAGTTGTTTAGCACCAACACTTTTGCCAGTACCAGAAGATAAAGTTCAAGTGCAATATATAACACATACAATTGAACTTATACGAACAATAATAACACATCATGAAGAAATCTTTTCAGCAAGTGATGATGGTCCAGTCTATGAGAAATTTGCTATTACAATACCAATGTAAGAGAAATTAATCTTAAGAATTGTTTTCTTTTAAAACAAAAAAATGATATTTTATATTTTTAGTGAGGGTGAAGAAGATGAAGATGATGAAGGTATTAGTGAACGTTCAATGAGACAATCACCAAGTGATGATGGTATATTATTGTTTTTCTTTTTTTTTGAGACAGAAAGATTTGTATTATTAAAATATTTCTAGCTTCACAAGATTCTGATTATTGTACCGAAGATTTTAATTTATTAAATGAGACTGATGTTTGGTAATAATTGAGAAATATATATATGAGCGAGCATGTTTCGCATGGCTTTTCGTACTTCCCTTAAAGCTTTTTCAGTGTTTGCTTACCTATATATTTGTGTCTGATAGAAATTTTGAAAAAAAAGATAATTTATTTTTTTCTTTTAGAAATGGAGATGGTGCAAGCAGTGGCATTGTTTGATTATAATGGTAGAACAACTAAAGAAATATCATTTAAAAAAAATCAAATTCTTTATATTTATAAAAAACTGAATCATGAATGGTGGTTAGGACATATAGCTGGTAGAAAACAGTCAGGATTTATTCCTGACGGTTATATCAAGCTTAAATCTAGGTTGGTATTTTAATAATGTGACCATATGTTACTGTCTAGATAACATCTTGTCATCTTTGATAATATTTTCGAACATATGTTTTTCATATGGAGGGTTTTATTTAGAAACATATTTGATAGAGTTTATGAGAATCAACTTTGTATTACAATATGATAGTTTATAAATCTCTTGTTATTCGCTTGTTTGAATCGGTCATTCGACAGATTTCTAAGCCAACCTATATAGTAAGTCGTAGCGCATAGAAAAGGAATTATGAAAATCAGAACATAAGATATATCAATTGAATATTGACTATTATATTAGCGCATGTTTCATTTCCAAATAATCAAGTAGAACAGTTATTGTTATATTCTATTTTTCAATTTTTAGACGCCGAGATTCAGCTCCTATTCAACATCGTCCTTCACTTAGTATAGAACCTGTTCCATCACCTTCATCTCATTCAATTAATTTAACAACAACATCAACAACATCAAATGATCAATCAGATATTCCTAATCCAACATCATTTATTTCTAATATATCTTCTCAATCATCTAATTTTTCACTTGTTGATGAACAACGTCTTCAATCATCAAAAGAAAGTGAAATAGTTGATGTTGATACTGATATTGATCATGAAGACGATACTTATTCATCTCAAAATCTTTCTAAACAACCTATATCTAATTATCGCACAATCTATGATATTTTACCATCGAGATCACCTCCATTATTATCAACAAATGACCATTTTGATTTAACATCTTCATCATCATCATCTTCATCATCATCTCATTTAACATCAATAAATGATCAACAAATAATTGATATTGATTCAGCATTACGTGAAGTTTTGTCTGGTATTCGAACTGTTGAAGAATGTCATGCACAATGTTTTCGCTCAATATCAACTTCAAATACACAACAAGAAACTGATGCACCTGATCTTGTACTTAATCTACCAATAACAACTGGATTTGTTACACCACCAGCATCAAAATCACTTGATGAAATTCTATCACCAATAACTAATAATAATAATAGTTCAATAGTACATTCAACAATAATTCTTGATGTAACAAGTAAATCACGTTCAAATTCACCATCATCAGAATCTATCGAACAAAAGAAAATGCCACCACCGATTATGAAAAAACCTGAAAAAACTTTACAATTAATTAAACGTCTTGGTTTACAACAGACAACCGAATCATCACCAACACATTTCAATGCTATACATCATCAACAACCACTTTCAGTTTCTGGTTCACCGAAAGTTACAGAAGTTTAAAATATATTATTTTTGGTGCTATTCGTTATGTTTATTTCTTTCTCTTGTACATTGTTTTGTTTTTTTAGCGTGTACAAACATCTATATGAGAGTGACACTTTAATCTTAGAAAATCAATTCAAAATGATGTTTTCTTGTTTTTTTTTTACCCACTGTCTATATACATATTCTTTTGTACCGAAAATTGTTTTTTTTCTATAATGTGTTTTTTTGTAGAAAAGAATCTCCTGTTAAATAAATCAATAGAAATAATTATATTATATTTATTTGACTTGTATTAGAAAATGAAAAGATACAATTAGTCAATTGTGAATGATAATATAATTTATATTTACAAAAATGTGCTGTTTTGTTTTTATCAGTATATGATTATTATATGAAATTTTTTATTTAAAAGAATCTGCTGAGATATAAAACATAAGTTAGTTAAATTATATTTCAAGAAAATATAATGATTCATATTCTTTATAGAAAATAAAAATGATTATTTCACCTTCAAATTAATCCTTTATTCATATAAGCAAAAAAAGAGACTGTCTCATCCTTCAATCCGTTTAACACCGATTGTTTACTTCATCATCATCCGAAATTACGTTTTGTTATTTATACAAATAAAAATACTTATGTCATCCTTTTTCTTCTTCTTCTTCTTTTTAATATTCGTTCATATTCTCGAATATAATTAAATGATATATAAATAAAGACAAGGTAATCAAGACCGAAAATTTGTCGTCATTCATATAACCATGAAAAGAAATTTATTCTCCAAGGTCATACAACATTGTTTCAAATAAAACAATTTCACGACTATGTAGTAATTGATTTGATTATTCAAACAATATATGTATACGTGATCCTCTCTCTATCTCTTTATTCCCGACAGAGATTTGGCTTCATTGAATACTTTCGTTAAAAAAGAAAAAGAAATGAGTAGGTGGTTTTGAAAGAACAAGATAAAAAAAAAATTCACTATCGATAACAATGATGTCGTTATACATTTCAATTGTACAAATAATGTTATTCACTAAAGATCATTATTTATTTATATTATTATATATATATTTCTTTTGTCTTCTAACATTTGTGAATTCTTGTAATATATGGAAAGCATCTGATTGTCCACAACCACCAACTGCTGATGATGAAGAGATTGTATAGTATTGATTTTCTTATTCGATTAATTTAATTTGTATTATAATTATTATTAGATGAAAGATGATTTATATACACGTGAACAACTTTTTCAATTTTGTGATAAAGGAAAAAAATATATTGAATGTGTTAATAAACAACTTCAATGTTGTGATTTAAACAGTGAACATACAGGTGCTTTAGCAGCATTTGAAGTTGGCCTTCAACAAGCTGTAAGAAACATTTTTGAAAAAAATAAATTATATCGAGAATATATATTTTTCTAGGGTTGGCGATTAGGTAGATATTGTGCGGGTCTTGGTGGTGATTCAATAATTCGGTATAAATGTAAAACGACGACATCACCACCAGTACGAACAACTACGACAACAACTTCAACAACTTCAACTATTCCACCATGTGAAGTCGAAGAGGTTTGCAAATATTTATTTTCTAATTATCATTTATAATAATATACTAGGCTGGAAAAGAATGTAATGATATATTGAATAGTCGTTTAAGATTTAAAAAAGATTGGACTGTATTAGAAAAAATTCGATGGTGTAAAACAGTAAGAGGATATATCCGATGTGCCGATAAATATATAACAAATTGTTCAATTATTGACGTTCGCGATGATGTTGAGCAACTTTCAAATTTTATGAAACATATTCAGAAAGAAGCAGATCGAGAATGTCAAGGTAGAAAACAATAAACAGTTTTATTTTTCATTTAATTTAATTTAATTTAAATATTTAAAGGTGGTTTTAAAGGTTGTGACAATGCAATTACTGATGTACGTTGTACACATAGTTCAGGTGATTATTATAATGGTAAAGTATTTGGTTCAGCAATACAAACTTTAATTATTAATTGGTACTTATTTTTCTTTATTGCCTTGATATTATGGTGGAATCGATAGGAACTTATTCTTATTTAAATAGATAACGACATTATAAATGTACTTTTTTGTTTTGTTTATCTTGTTGTTATTGTAATTTCTTGATTATTTAGTGCTTTCAAAAATACTTTTCGTTTGTATTGCAAACAATTACTTGTTTATTTATATCGAGATATTTTTATGTCATTTGAAAATTAAAGCTAATATATCAATCATACGACATGCTTGAAAAGATAGAATTGTTTAGATATGACACGATTGATGATATTGTTCATTTTCTTTAATATGTAATATATTGGTACAAAAAATTCAAGAGACTTGTGATGGAAAACTTTTCGTATTCTGAAAAAACTTGTTAATTAAAGAAATGATGTGAAATTCAAAATATTATGGTACATCAAATTGTGAGAAATCGAAGCTTTAAAATAGATTACTATAGGCATAGTCTTAGTTGAAGTACACTCTTACTCTTATCTATATACTAATTATTATGCTAACTACGTCAAATGATGTGTCGAAGGTATGGTGTGAATAAATAAAAAGATGAAAAAAATTATCACGTACAAATTCTGAAATATTGTACTATATTACAACTAGTTGTGATATCTAGATTCAGAAGTTAAGGTTATCCTGCAGTCTTCGTCAAACTTTGTTTTAGTAAAAAATTTTCTTCTGTAATATTAATATAAAATTTCAAATAACCATTATTAGATAAATGATCCATTCATCTTCATCAAATTATCTATTGCAATTATTCATCATCATTACTCATGTTCATGACTGATTTTTCGCCATTTATTCTTTCACAATTACATTCTCTCATGCTTAATGAAGCATTACTTATTCACATATGCAATATTTGACCTAGAAATGCTTCATATCTCGTTCATTTCTCTCGTATATACCTCTCGATATTCAGAACAAAGAAGAATTACAACTATAAAAAAATAATTTACTCAAGTGAGATCTAGTCGTCGTGAATCTCTTCAAGATATTTCATCAAGTATTATGATTGAAATATATAACTTAACTGTCACAAATCTGTTGATATAGTTCAATTATTTTAAAAATTTCTGTACTGATCTACCTTAATCTTATTCCTCTTTATGTTAGTGAGATACAAACTATGAAAGGGTTCTTACAGTTAAGTCTTTCTCAGCCTATTAACAAAAATGACTTATTGTGATGTTTTGTAGTAGACTGAAAAGTCAATAAAATGATTATAGCTCTAACATGAAGGTTCAATAATACGAACGATTCGAGAGTTTGTATTTACACGGTTAGTTCTATATGTATACAAAACAATAGGTTTCCTCGTCAGACTTTTTTCTTTTGTCTAAGATTCAGTTGTATTCTAATTAAAAATCTGCGATTATCTATCATCAATCCAGCAAATATTGAGTTTTGAAAACATTTAACTCATACCCCTTCAATCAAATAAGACATTGTATGGATTCCCACATTCTTAATAAACAAAATATAAAGATTAATTTGTCCTATACACATAAATATATATATATATATTTTTCTAATCAAGCTGTACATATATAATGAATAGAAAATAAAATAAAATGAACTGAAATTATTTTGTGTTTCGAAATAATCTCATCAAAAACTGTTTGAACCAAGGAAATGATGTACTGTTATAACAATAGAGAGAAAGTGAGAGAGAGAGAACCAATGAATAAGAATGGACAGAAAAATTATCGCATTAAAAAGAAGAACAAAAAGAAAACATTTTTCGCTGTCGTTAAAGAAGTAATTCTTTTTAAAATGCACATATTAAACAAAAAGAAAAAAAGAAAGACAAACGGAAAGAAAAAATAACCTCATTCACAGTTACCATACACGAAAATATTAGAGAAAAAACGTTTTATTTCAAATTATTCTTGACCAAAACCTTCACACTCTTCAATAGCAAATAAAAGTTTTTCTTTTAATATTTCATATTTTTTATATGGTGGTAAATCTAATCGATTGAAACATGTATGAGATCGAGGTAATATATTATCTTTGCCATATTTTTCTATACAAAACTTTTGTGGACCATTTGATCCTAAAGAAAAAAAAATAGAAATCATATTAATTATATGAATTTTTTTTATTGTTGTATATAAAATACCAAGTAATTCAGAAAAACCACCAATCGGTACACGACATGTACCAGTAACAAATTGTAATAAACGTGCACGTTGTTCATCAGTTATTTCACGTACAAATTGCCAGAACCATTGAATTTGTTTAGCAGTTTCAGTATAATTCTTATAGATCGTATTATGTTCCCAATCATGAATATCTATTTTTGATATACCACATAAAAGTAATTCTAATTCACGTTCATCAAATATCTGAATCCATTGTTGAGGAACAACCTAAATAAATTACCCGTTATAGAATCGATTTTGAGATGTGAAATCATCTGTTAACCCTATTGGTATTCTGTCGACGTTACTTACGGTGAGTAGTATTCTAATATTTTCTATGACAGCTAGAAAGATTTTATTTATTGAATAAAACATAAGTTTCACACATTATTCGAGAAGATCTCTTAACTGACGATTGCGTGACTGTAATACATTTCTTTTTTGAGAGTGTTCTATATTCAATGTAAACGAAAGGCAACATCATGTCGTATTAATTATATAAAGTGTACTCAATTCAAAAACTCCATGTTTGCTGAAGAATGATTTCTATACACATCTTATTAGTTAAATAAATCTCTTTGATAATTTATTTTTTTCTTCACAATGTACGAAACCTTATACATCGAAATATATATCTTACCTCATTAAATCCATGTAAAAATGCTTTTGTTTGTTGTTCAACTCCACGTGTAAATCTCCAATTAGTCATTAATTCGATATATTCAGCTTTATTTTCTTCAGTTAATTTAATATCCATTCCACCTGGTTTTAATTCAATATTTTCAATTTTTCCAAGTGATTCAAATGATGTACTAAAATATAATTCGAGATTATCATTATCATTTACACTATTTTCACGTATCCATAATAAACTATTATAAAACTCAGGATCAAATGATTCTAAATCATGTATTGTCAATGTTTTTCCAAGCATACGTTTATAGAATGCTAAACTAAAACCATTATCAATAAATTTTCCATGATAAAGTGACATAGCAATAAAACGACCAATAAATCTAAACGGAATACATTATTATATCGAAAAAATAGTTTATTTTTGTTTGTTACCGAAAATAATGTAGATGATCAGGATTCACTGATGATGCTGGATTTATTTGAAGATAATAATTATTTTTATTTGCATATTCAAATAGACAATACATTGGATTAAGTGCTTCATGTGATAAACGAAAAAACCATTCACGTGCAACACCACCATAATCAAGACCTTCTTCACCTTTAAATGAAAGATATAAACGACGACGAAGTTCATTTGATTGACATTGCATTATATGAGTAAATGAATCATGAAATAATTGATCTCGACGTATAGTTAATTTTAATTGTCCAGGTGTTGAATTTGTTGAACATAAATAACGAAATTGTCGAATTTTACTTGGAAAACTACGTTGATAATTTGGAGTAGCATCACTTGATTCATCATTAGACTAAGAAAAAAAAAGTAAATTATTTGAAGAAGAAAAAGAAAGAAATTTGTATTTACTAGCATAAGACTAGCTCTTGGATCACGAAATGTTGATGTTTTTGTATTATGATCAAGAAAATATACTTGTCCTTCTTTTGTATAACGCATTTCAAAACCATTTGGCAATGGCATATCAAATATATTACTATCCATTCGTCGTGGATCTTCCCATTGTGTTGTTTTAGATATATGATTAACAAAATATGTTCGACCTTGATTATCATGCATTTTTTGCCAACCTGAAAAAAAAGTTAAATTCAGTAAATTTATTAATCAACAATTATATTACCTTCTGGTAGAGATTGTTCAGTAGAATCTGAATTTTCATTTAAAGTCGCACTTGTATCCGAATTTGGTAGAAATCGATGTTCAAATTGATTGAATACCGAATGACTTCGAGCATATTGATTTTGCCATTGAGCTACATTTGATAAATGAGTAGCAGTTGGTGGTGTCCATGTTGTTGTTCGTGTATTATGATCAACATAATAGACACGTCCACGTGGATCAGTACGTTCTTCCCATCCACGTGGAAGTGCATGTTGTTCAAGAAACCATGTTGTTCGACGACGATTATGATCAACATAATAAGGACGATTTTGACTATCAAATCGAACTTCCCAACCTGGAGGTAACTAAAAATAAAAAAATTCTATTTCGTTTTGAATTTTATTTTTTTATTCTAAATCAAACTTGTTGTTTAAGTTGTGCTAAAGTTGTTTCATTTGTTATTGATGTTTGATCTGTTGATAAGTCTGTTTGTACATCAGAATTGACAGAAGCAGCTGCTGCAGCTCCTTCGACAATCGTACCATTTGTTTGATTATCTAATGGACGTCGTCTTGAACGTGTATTAGTATTATTTACTGATCGTGATATCATTGAACGTGTTGTTTCATTTGAATTTTGTATTTCAGAACCGTTTTCTAACATCGAATGAGTTGATGATGGACGTGATTGTTGTGTATCCTGAAAATAATGAATTCAAAATTCTATATATTGAAACCAAAAAAATCTATTTTTTTTGTGCTCTACTTGTTGGTTTCGATTTTCATTATGTTGTTTAAGTAGAGAACCATAAAAAATCAATTCAACAATACCATTTGCAAGATTATTTATTTCATTTGATCGAAATAATGATGTTGATGTTGTCGAATTATTAAATGGTAATTTAACTAGATATGATGGTGTTGTATCATTATTAATTTGTTCTGAAGAATGATATTCATTAATAATTGTTTTAACACTAAATTGTAATTGTCCTATATCATGATTACCAAAGAGACGTGTTGGTGCAAGAATTTTTAATTTGATTTTTGAATTTGATGTAACAAGAACATCAAATGATTCATTAATAAGTATTATTGGTGAATTAGTTGTTGTTGTTGTTGTTGTTGTTTTACCTTTTTTACGTATAATTTCTGTTCGATATGTATATTTATTATCAACTTCCATATTAACACAAATATCAACAAGTTTATTTGATGATGGTAAACGTACCGAACAAATTTTAACACGTAATTGTGAAAGAGATTCATTTGTACGAATATCATCTCTATCTGGTGAAGATGATGTTGGTGTTGATGGTTGAAGCATCACCGGGATTCGTATTCTTTTATTTTATGTAATCATAATAGAAAAAAAAACTGAAAGAATAGAACCAATCATTAGATTAAGTTTTTCTTTTTTGCTAATTACAATTTATTTTTGTAAATATAGTAAAGTGTACTGAAAAGTACCTTTTGCTCGTTCGATCAACGAATGATGACGAAAAAATAGATTGTAAATGACAAGCAACGAAAGGAAAAATAATAGCACATGTTTACCTTGCTATTTATTTGTCGATAGAAGAACCAATCAGAATCATCGTTATTATGAAGAAAAGAAATAGAAATAATAATTATATAGATAATTTCTATTATAAAAGAATAAATGCAACGCAAAATATAATTATTATAAGTAATGAAAAAAAAAGAAAAGGACTTTATTCTAGTTACGTAGTTTTTAATAGAAATTAAAAATAAAATGTTCTTTTTTTCCTATATTTTATTAGAGCAGAACGATTCAAAAACTCTTGCAATAATATTGTTTTTATTTAAAAAAATGGTACTTTTTAAAATATAGAATTTTATCTAATGAACATAATATTTATGAGATATATTTATTAGTTCAATGATATAGCTATTTTAACTATTCATCGTAACTACTATATGGATTGAGTATTATTGTTTCAATGCTAATAATAACACTAAGCCCTAGTCTTCATATATTTATCTAATACTTAATAATTACGAAGGAAAGAATACTTCTCTAGGTGTTTTAATAAATGGTACGATAAACGGATCAAATGAAGAAGTTGATAACAATAACATATGATGTTATATTGTAAACCAGGCTTTGAAATAGAAAACTTATTTATATCTATGTTATATAAAAAATGAACTACTTTATTTTATATTATAAAACTAACTTTGTTTAAAAATAGAATTGTATACTTATTAGCATTTGAATCGCCTACTTCAAAGTTAATTTTCTCTACTAATCAACAAAACAACATATATGTATATACGTAGACAGCCACATTATATCATCTAGAGTAAAGTGAAATATTGCTATATTGATATATCAAGGCTTCTGTCTTTCATGTTTATTAGATTTATTTATATTCATAAAAATCTCTTATCATATATATAATTCAGAAATATTACAGGCTTTGTTTTTTAAAAACTACTACTGGATAAAAGTTACAGTCTATAACTCTATCGAATAAAATTAAATTTATATACTCTGAAAGTCATTTTTTTTGACGCATGTCTTTAAAATTTATTTTATTACAAACATACATGATAGAACTGTCGAAAAATATGATTTTCAAGTGCATTAGATATTACTAATGAATATAGAGAAATGAACTCTATAAAATTATATAAATTGTTTAAATAGCATAGCTATTATTATAGTAGAATCTTCGAGATTTATTTTATAAAATAAGATATTTTGTTAGTAAAGTATACATGATCTCAACAATGAATATATTAGTAATTGATTTATATTTCAAAACACTTTCTAAAATAAGATAAAATCTTATTTATATTATTTTAATTTATAGTAAAGAATGGATCGATTTAGTCACAAGAATCAATCTCACAATCAAAACTTATCGAATCCTATATTTTCAGTTTAAATCTAAGGAAGATTTAAAGAAATATAATGCAATCTTGATCACCTACTATGCAGAACCTATATTTAAATATATTAAATTATGTGACCATTTATTTTGTCAATGTATAAATGTCACCATCTTCATAGAGTTAAGCATACCAATTATCGGAACTTCGGTAAAATACAATCAAAGATTTTGTATTGTTGAACAACAATATGATACAATGAATTCTTCATAGAAAGTTTATTTATTTATATCATAAATTTCGTCGAACTTAAAATTTCAGCACTTGTATAGAAATTAAATGTTATATTACGCCATATATTCATTCGATTTCACTATATTTTAGATGAATTCTATCAAAATTTTGACTTTAAAATGTTCAATTAAGTGGAGTTAATCTAACTAAAAACATATCGAATTTACTCTTCTTTGATTGAATATTCATGAAAATGAATTTTATATAATTGCATGTTAGATGTGCAAATTTCTTCTACAATAATCTTTTTAAAGTCATTTCATGTGCTTCGTTGACTTTATTTTAAAAGAGAGTAAATATTAATGTCGGATGCATTGCAAAATTTATAAGTAATACGTGGAATTTTTTGAAGTACATTAAAATAAATAAGGGGTAGCAACGTTTTTTTGCTTGTCTCACTCGAAAGTTGGAAGAAAAAATAGTTACGACTTTTTAAAAGCAACAGACAAACTTCAATTATCGCAGAAAGTTAAGCATAGAAAACAAGTAAAATGAATAATAGAATAGGTTTGTTTTTTTTAGAACACGAGCTCCTAATATTTTGTTAATCATGAATATTAATAAAAGACTTACAACGGAGTGAATAAATTAATGGTAAGTTTAATTGTTAATATTTAACTATTATGAAATAGCTATTTACAGCACATAATAATATCATACAGAAACTGACGAATACACGGCTGGTAATATTTCATATGCTTTTCAATATTGTAAGAAATTGAATTTTTAGTTAATATTTGTTTATACTTCCAGCTCACATACTGAATTAATCAGATTTAAATCAGTACAGATCTATGACACGATCCTGAATATAATGATGTGGGGAAAATCCCAAAGTTAATTTTACTTTCATTTCTAGCATACATATTCTTGTACTTTATCTCTCAATATAGGAATACGATGGGTTAGATGTGCGACTTTATTTTTTAGAAGTATACTATTTCCTTTTCATAATTATCTTAATCAGACGTGGCCCAAATCTAAACCGTTCGATGAATTGAATTTGCGTGTAGGCTTGACTATAGCTCAAGTATGGCACATCGACAGGTGAGCCTTTCATATATAATATTCACTAAAAATATAACATGAACTAGGAGCGTTTTGTCCCTTGTGATTCAGTAGAGTGTAGATATGGTTTCGACTCTACCTCACCCACATCTGTATCATCCTCCATTCATACCCTCGCCCACTTCTTCACCCACACTCATAGCCTTTCAGTTATGAAGTTTCTTATATTATTTCAGATATAAATAAATCATGTCGAGTTCAGCAAGTAACTCATCTCATCATCGAAAGTTAGCACTAATCATTAGTAATGGTAATTATAGTCGTTCAAATAACAAAATAAGTCATAGTACTAACAAGGTCAACAATTTAGCGGAAAAACTTCAAAGCATCAGTTTTAAAGTTACAAAGTATACCGATATACAGACAGATCCAGAAATGTTCGGAAACGTTAAAAAATTTGCAGATGAAATTACAGATGGAGACATAATCTTGTTCTACTATTCTGGTCAGAGTGATCATGTGAATAATAAAAATTATTTGATACCTATCAAGGATGATATTATAGAGAGTGATAGAGATGTTGAAGATATTGCTACATCGGCTGATAAAATACTTGAACGTCTGGTAGAGAAAAATACATCATATATCACTCTATTCATCTTGGATTGCTGTAAATCATATATGCGAAAAGCTGGATCAAAATCAAAGAGTAAATAGCATTGTTAAAAACTCTAACAGATAATGTTTATATTTCCTTAGATGCTACTGAAAGTAAAGGTCTACGTGAAATGAAATTAACTAATGGAGCATTAATTCAATTTGCTTGTGCTCCTAATCAAACAGCTCCTGGTGAATTATATAGCAAACATTTATTGAAAAATATCACAAAAAGAAAGGCTACCATTGAAAATATTTTTCACAGTATAATGAACGATGTATACGAAGAAAGTAATCAAACACAAAAACCATTAACTATAAATGGATTACATAAACATGGGGAAACCAATCTTAATAAACAAATTATCAGTACGTAAAGGATGACGTTTAGATTTCATCAAAAAGTTAAAATTGTTAAGCGATTCCTTTTCATATGAATTTGAAAATAATTATTTTGTGATTCTTACTTAAAAGTGACAGTACATATGTGTAGATTACCTTATAAAATATCCTTTCTTTATCGTGTTATATTTCATCCGGATAGACAAGAGAATATAGATTCCTATTTTGAAGAAAATACTCGACAATATATGTAATTTATATTAAAATGATATGTTTAAATTCTTTAGAAACTTTATTAAATTAATGAAAGAAACACGCTTTTTAATTTATAATACAATTAATTTAAGTGATATGCTGAGTTATATTTGCATTTGAATTTCAAGTAGATAATGCGATGTCTAAAATTTTCCAATATACTACATATTTTTATTGTTATAGTGATACCAAATATAGTATCTGATGCTAAATGGCAATCTCAAGCTCATACTATTGCTGGTGGTCTTGGTCTTGGTACTGACATGAATAAACTTAATTGTCCTCAAGGTATTTGCATAGATGAGAATCAAACTATTTTGGTTGCTGATATTTCAAATCATCGCATTATGGAATATACACGAGATAAGAAAGAAGGACGTAGAATAGCAAGTAAAACTACAAGTGGATACAATCGTGGTCATTTATCTGGACCTTTAAATGTGATTAATGATGCTGATTCGAAACGTTTTATTATTTGTGATTCTAATAATCGACAAGTTTTACAATGGACACGAGGAAGTAGCAAAAAGCCCAAGATAATGATAGACAATGTCGCATGTAGTGGATTAGCTATGGATGATGAAGGATCTATCTACATCTCCGATAGTCAAAAGCATGAAGTGAGACGATATTGTGCGGGTGAACGAAAGGGAACAATCGTTGCTGGTGGTCATGGACAAGGAAGTCGTCCCTGTCAACTTAATCATCCAACATATATTTTTGTCGATCGAGATCAATCTGTATATGTATCAGACTCCTGGAATAATCGTGTAATGAAATGGACGAAAGGTGCAAAAGAAGGTATTGTTGTAGCTGGAGGTCAAGGTCGCGGAAAGAATCTTACACAATTGGATTGTCCTACAGGAGTAACCATTGATGCATCAGGCGCAGTTTACGTAGCAGATCACTGGAATAATCGAATAATGCGTTGGGGCAAAAATGCCAAACATGGTGATATCATTGCTGGTCATAGATACACTTCGGGTACTGGCTCAAATCAATTAACTGGTCCAACCGGTTTAGTATTCGATGAAGCTGGTAATCTTTACGTATCTGATTCGTACAATCATCGAGTGCAACGATATGCTATCAAAGAGGATTGACACTGATTATTGTTCGTTTTCTAATTTAATGATGGAGTGATTATTGTAATTTAAAAATATATCTTAGTATATCAATAATATAAAAATAAAAGCCTGCTTCTTATTTAAAGTTAAACTGAAGAATAAAAGAGATTAAATCAAAATGATAGGTGTGTGTAACATTCAATATCATATTTAATCAAAGCTTCTTTTTATGAACATAATCGATTGTTGTTGCTGTTTGCAAATTTAGATTTTTAAGATTTATAAAATAGTATCATAATTCTAAAACTCGCAAAGATCTTGTTCATCGTCTTTTAGTTCTACGCATCATGACTAGTGAATACAAAAAATATGTTTATTCTCTCTAAATAAAAATGATAGAGTTCGCAACGTTACATTGTTGTTGTGAGTCATGGTAGTATAGTTGTTTTCATTTGTCTAGTTCTATCCTATAGAAAGACAACTAATATAGATGGGAAAAAATCTTGCTTTGTCGGCTATGATACTGCATTTTTTTCTAAGAATGGCAAAATCTCTTATAAATACCTCGACAAAATAGCATCATCATTCAACAGAATATAATTCATTCCATCAACTTCTCAAAAAGAAGATGGCAGATAATTGCAATCAACACAGCGTTGAAAGTAAGAATAAAATAGACTCATCCTGAGAGTATAGGTATGAGTGAAGATTGACACATTTTACATCCTAATTCATCTTGACTATGTTAGAAGTACGGCTAAAGTTTACAAGAAGATATGCCATTCTAGTAAAAGAAACTAACTTTGATCAATTTTTCTTATTTATAGAAACTGATACATCAAATGATATCGACATCGCTCGAATTGTTATTGTTGGTGCTGGTCTCTCTGGTTTGACTTGCGCTCGAAACCTAACACGTCTACTCAAGAAGCGACCACATCAAATTACAATAGTCGAAGCACGTGACAGAATTGGTGGTCGAACATTTAGTATTCCGGAACTCAATCTTGATTTAGGTGCTTCGTGGATCTTCCCAGATCACACTGCCGTACGTGCATTAGCAAACGAGCTAGGTATTAATAAACTGGAACAATACGAAGGAGGCATGTCACTTGTAGATACTATGAATGGTACTTCTCGTCCAACGAGTATGGGTAACATTCATGGTGGCGCTAAACGTCTCAAAGGTGGAACTGGTAGTTTATGTGCAAGTATTCTTAATGAACTAACGAACCGAAACGAAGCAACAGTTAATATACAGCTAAACTCACCTGTTACCAGTATTAATTATAATGATGATAAATCTATAACTGTAAAATTACATGATCATCATTCTATAATGGCTGATTACGTAGTATTAGCTTTGCCACCTAAACTATTAATATCAACTGTACAGTTAACGCCAATGTTACCATCATCTCTTATCGAACAACTTAAGAAATGTGTCACATGGATGGCATCTACATGCAAAGCCGTCCTTGTATATGAACGTGCATGGTGGCGAGAGAAGAAATTAAGTGGATTTGCTGTTTCACGTCAACTCAAAGCACAAGAATGGCATGATGCCTCCAGTGCAACTTGCAATGCTCTTTTTGTTTTCTGTCTAGCTAATACTACCAGACAGCAAGTAATCGATGCTACTGTTAAAATATTTGGTAGCGATGCAGAAAATCCAACAGCTGTGTATATCACTGATTGGAGTAATGAAGCATTTACATCCTCATCAGTCAATGATGGTAGAGGTGGTCATCCACATGTAACTGATGTGTGTAGACAGGCCTATTGGAATGGACGATTATGGTTGAGTAGTAGTGAAGTAAGCGATACCGATAGTGGTTTTCTTGAAGGTGCTGTAACACGAGGTATTCAAGTGGCTGATCAACTAGCTGAATTAATGTTCAAAGAGAAAACTAAATCTCAAAATGGAATAGATGTGTAATTATAGGCATGTTTTTATTTTAAATAAAATAACCTCGATATATTTTCATTATTAAGAGAAATAATTCTCACAGTAAAGTTAAATGTACGAAATCAATCTTATTAACAATGTAGCAAAAGAAGAGTGACAGACTAGGAATATACTCACATCAAGTGAATCAAAACTAATCATCTTAGAAGTTTATGTGGATAATTTCTGATTTTTTCCGTTAACTGGTCATATAATAATAATTCTATTCGGCTCATAATTGCAAGTATCCTAATTTTTGTTCTTCATAAGTTCTTTTTGAAACAGTACAAACATATTTCTCAAATCGTTTTATTGATTATACAACAGTTAAATATTCATGTGTACTTTTCGTAATTTTTCATATTTCAATACACTACCAATATTTATTAATGTGGTAAAAAATAATCCATCACCTCTTCAAAAACCATTGTATGGTAATCAAAATTTAAATTTGTACGCATTTAAGTGACATCTACAATATGATGAAATGATATTCGCTATTTTTTATCGAGAGTAACTGAAAAGCAAAATTGCAAAACTGTAGGAAACATTAACAAATTTTAAATCTTGATACTCTAAAGCTTTCCATTTAAATTCATACAAGTCACATATATTATCCTCACTGAGTATTTTTATTTTAGATAAATAATTATTTTTCTACTGTATTTGGTTTGAGTATATATGATAGAACTTACTGTATATAACTTCTATCATTTCATATTCAAAGTTTGATTTAAAGGAGTTAAAAATAATCGTTATAACACTAATCCTACGATTACAGTTACAAATATGGATTATGTTAATTCACTTCTTTCTTCGATTCTACGAGCAAATACAACATCTGTTCTCAATAAACTTGAAGAGCATCGTCAACGACAAAGTACAATAACATTTCAATCAATACTATTATTATTAACAAAAGAATTTAATAGTTCGACTTGGATTGAAAATATTAATAAAGGAAATCAAGTAATAAAACATTCAACATATATTTCAAAGCGTTATAAATTAAAAACTGCTGATAAAACAGATGTTGATCATTGTGTACTAATTATTCTACATTATATTGTATCTGTTATTCATAAATATAAAATAACTGATAGTGATTCAATATGGACAGAAATATTAGATAATCCATTAACAAGAACAAGTTCAGTAAGTAGAATTATGATATTAAAAAGTAATTAGTTTCGCATTTATCATTTTAGTTTTATGAATTTCTATATAAAAATCGGATTATTATTCCGGATGCGATATGCACACCTGTTTTTGAAAATCGTTCTAGACTGTCTTCTGAAAATCGTCCTAGACGACATCAATCTAGACCTCAAGTACCTGTTGATAGAATGACATTATTTCTACTGGGTTTTACTGATGGAAGAGGAATGAGATCGCGCATGGGAATCAAAGATTATGAAAAATTATTTTCCATACTTCGACAACAAGAATCATTTCATAATAATCATAAACCTGAACGACTTATATATTTAATGAGAACACCTGAAGAACTTTCATTATTCTTATCTCATTTTTCTGATTATGATCTCAATAGTATTGATTTAAAGACAGATTTTACTGTACTTGATCGAATTATTAATATGAAACCATATTTCTATGTCATATCAGACGATAATAATCCTTTACATCGAAGGTATTCTGAATGGTTAAAACCACGATTAGTTGCTCAACAGGAACCTAATAAGTATCCAAATGAAATAACTAAATATCGAACAGCACGTCTCATTAATCTATTTCGATCAGTTATCCTTCGAGGTGGACAAGTATGTTTTATATTTTGTTTTTCATAACTATATCTAATTGAGAATATTTTTTAGCTATCAAAGCTTACGTTTAATGTTTATACAGATGCACAATGTCCTATAGATCGATTTTTTGTAACAACAATTGGTATCTATGCATTAATTGGTTTACGTCTAAATGATATATATCCACGTCGATTATCTTTTCAATGTGATACAAATTTTATAGCGCATGTAATTAACGTATCAAACGCATTTCATCCAGAATTTCAAGAATTTATTTTAAAATATCTTGCAAAATCTTATTCAATTATTCATACTAAAAAATTTATTGAACAACAACGAAAAAATGAAGATGTTCATACACAAAAAATAAATGATCAATTATTTCAAAATCTATTAACATTAAAAGAATGGTGTCGTTTAAAAATTAAAGATATTATTTGTTCACAAAAACATATCGATCAATTAGATTTATCACGATCCCTAACAGATTATTGTTCATATGGCCTTCTTTCTTCAAATTATGCTACGAAATGTATTGACGAAGTAATTAAATAATTAAATAAATCTTCTTTCTATACTTGGTTTTAGGTCACTAAACACAACGGAAATGTTCGACCATTGAAAGAAATCGAAAATCCTCGGTTACATGTCGATGAAATTGACAACTGATAATACAATCATTTTGACTAGAGTAATCTAATTTGTTTTTTTTGTAATATTTTATACTCAAGAATATTTTCTAATCTTTTTTTTTCATTAATATCGATCGTGTATTTACATCGATTTGATCGATTGTATATCCATTACACGATAAATAATTTGCAATCTCAACGGGATCTTTCGAACGAAAAGAATTCGTATGTGTCATTATAAATGGACATCCATGAAGTGCTGGAATTTGTGAAGGACTCGGTTTCGTTTGTGTTGATGTTGATGATGAATGTTCATAACCAACATGTATATACATAGGTTCATCGTTAGATGAAAGATTTTTTGTTGATATTGATGCAGAATAAACTTGTGGTAACATGTATTTATCAATAATAGCTTGTCGAAGTTCATTATGTAATATTGTTAACACTCCCGAACGATAATAAGTTAGAATTGAAGAAAATATCATTGCATCTTCATCAATTAAAAATGAATTATCAGCATCACGTGAATGAAATGATGAGTTTATTTCATTATTAATTAATTTTGTTAAAAAACTATTCGGATATTGTTCTAATGTTTGACGATATATACCAAAAATATCACCATTTGTTAATTTAAATTTTATTATATCTGACATTCTTTTTTTATTTAATCTAGAAAAAACAAATAACAAGTTAACAAACAAACAAATAACTAAACAAAAATAACTTTTCCTAAAAAATAAATAAATACTAAGGAGGCATACGCATAGCACCATCTAAACGAATATTTTCACCATTTAAATAATTATTTTCTATTATATTTTGTGTTAATCGTGCGAAATCATCAGGTAAACCAAGTTGAGATGGAAATGTTACCATCATAGCAAGTAAACTTTTACTTTTATCAGATAATGGTTCGACCATTTTTGTTTGATCAAATACACCAGGTAGAATAGTACATACACGTATACCAACACTTGCGAGATCACGTGCTAATGGAAGTGTCATACTTGCTAAAGCTCCACTAGTTGCTGAATAAGCAACTTGACCTTAAAACAAAACATCGATAGAAAAAATATTCTTTTTAAATTCTAAATAAACCTATTTGTCCTTCATATGCTGCAATACTTGACGTATTTATAATAACACCACGTTGTCCACGTGCATCTGGTTGATTATCAGCCATAACATGACATGTTCTTCTTAGTACATTAAATGTTCCAACAACATTTACATTCATTACACGATTAAATTCTTCCATTGAATGCATACTTCGTTTCTAAATTAAAATAAAATACAAAATTATATTGAATTAAGAAAATAAGTTATACATTAATATTATAACATCGAAATGCAACACCAATGCCTGCACATTGTACTAGACAATTAAGTTTGGAATTTTTTTCTTGAATTTTATTAAACATTTGTTCAATTTCATTATCATTTGTTACATCAACTGGATGATATGTAACTAAGGATGAATCCATTGATTTAGCAATTTCTTCACCTTTTGATGTTGGTAAATCACAAAAATGTACATGACTTATGCCTTGTTTTAGAAAACGATTAATACAAGCTAAACCAAGACCAGAAGCACCACCGGTTACTAATGCTACTAAACCGTTCATAGTTTTTAATAAAATTAAATTTTATATTCTACTAAAGTTTCATGATTCGTTGAATATCTACTTCAATCAATGATGAGTTTTATTTAGTAGCGACGCATGTTTATAGAGGTCCAATCTATATAATGATTGGTTGATTTTGTTGTTTTGTGTTATTCATTGAAATTATAATTTCTTCAGATTTAGAACATTTCTTCTTACATGGCAGATAACACTGACGAAGGAGCATCAAGCTCAAGTGGTATTAGTGAAGATATATCAAAATGGCAACCATATTGGGATGAAAATTATAAACGTTATTATTGGTCGGATGGAAATGAATCGGTAAATTTCGCATAATATTATATATGTACTTTCTATTTAAAGCTTTTTTTTTAGGTATGGGAAACGCCTAAAGGCTGTATTGAACCACCACCACCATCAGAATCATCGTCAAATGTTGGTGGTGGAGAACAACAACAACAACAGTACTCAACTAGTGAATATGCTTTATCAATGGCATATGCAAATGCACAACCTGATCTTCGTTATCAACCATATATAATTCCACCTACGATTCCAAGTACAATGAATACTGGTAAAAGACTTGTTGGACAAGATGCACGTGATCTACGTCAATTATATCATTATTTTGATTATAATGCTTGGAATGAAGAATTAAATCGTACAAATGGAAATCAAAAGAAAAAAGTGAAATTAACTAAAAAAGAACTTGATAATATAAAAGCACGTCGAGCTGCAATTAAAAGAAAACATCGTGATAAATGGTTACTTGAAGATTAAATTGATGTGTGTGTACGCGTTGTGTATGTTTGTTGTCGTCATATTCATCTCTTCGTTTTTGTTTTTTACTTCCAAGAATACATAAAGAAACAATTTTTTTTCTGGAATTTAAATTGTATAAATCATTAAATAACTCACTTTGATATGTCGAGAATATATAGAAAAAACAAAAAATCTAGATTTACTATTCTTCATGATTATATACAATAATAACAAAGAATTTGATTATGTACATAAATAAAAACTAATGATTATAGGAATATTTTTCTCGATCGAAAATTATTGACTATTTTACACAACATGACAATAGTATGTGGTCAAATTTGATATTCTTAGTATACTATGTGAACATGAATTAATTGTTCTTATATAAAGCTATTTCTATTCTTTTCTTTCTTCATTATTATTTAAATTTTTTCTTATTATCATATTTATTTGTAAAGAAAACGAGAAAGAAATCTGTTGTCACATATTACAGAGTGATAAAAATACAACTGATTAATAGATAATAATCAATGGCTGAAGAAATTGTTCAACAAATGCGTATTATACAAGAGGTAGAGATGAATTAAAAAAGAAAACGACTAAAATAAAGTATATTCACATATCATAGGTAGTTTGTCAATTAGATATTCGTTTATCTGATAATAGACCGTAAGTAATCAATGAAATATTTTATGAATATAATCCATTTTCATACAGTGAAATAACAAATCAATATGGTTATTTAAAATTTGATATGAATGAGTTAAGTTCAATAACACGACTCTCACAATATATTCGATTATCTCATGGAACAAGTGCAAGAACTATAGTTGAATTTATGAGACGTGGTTGGCGTTTACCTACACCGGATTTAATTATTTCGGTTACTGGTGGTGGTAAACAATGTAATATGTCAACACATCTTAGAAAAACATTTCAACGTGGATTAGTTGCTGCTGCTGCAACAACAAGTTAAATAATAATTCATTTTGAAGTCTAAAAAAAAGAATTTTCTCTTCTAAATAGATGCATGGTTGATTACAGCTGGAACAAATGCAGGTGTTATTAAAGAAGTTGGTAAAGCACTCGATAATTATCGTTATAAAAATCGAAAACATGCTCTTGATGTTCCATGTATTGGAATTGGTAGTTGGAAACATACAGCTGGAACTGAACAATTGAATTGTACATCAAATATAGATATTGATGTAACTATAGATAGAGAAAGTCGATCAGCAAATCATTCTCGACAAAGTACAACTGAAGCAGTTCATATGGTAAAATTGTTAAGAAGAACAAAACAGAATTCTCTACGATAAATTTTCTTAATAGAATGTTGCTGATGAATATAATATACGTTCATATTGTTCGGGACAATCAGAAAACGGACAATGTGATTTAGAACCTAATCATACACATTTTTTATTATTTGAAGGTGAATCATGTACTGCTGAAGATGTTCTTCTTCGACGAACAGAAATTGAACAATATTTAAGAGAAATAAATACAACATTAATAACAACAGATATATTAACACCGATTGTTATGATTCTTGTTGAAGGTGGTGCATTATCAATTCGTGCTGTTTGTCAAGCACTTGAAACAAATGTTCCATTAGTTGTTGTTAAAGTTAGTAGAAATTTAAAATATTTTTATTGATTAAAATTTTTCAAAAAACAAAAATAGGAATCTGGTCGAGCTGCTGATTTAGTTGCGGATTTATATACATATTTTAATCAGATTGAAATTGATCATGGTGTTAGTGACAGAAGATTTATTAATAAAGATCGTCCTACTGATATTTCATATAAAGAAATTCGATTGAATTCAATGTAAGTTGTTGTTTGATTATATTTTTGAAAGATTTATTTAATGTTGTATAGATTACATAAACATCGAGCTGATAATAATGTATGGATTGATCAAATAAAAGAACGATTATGTAATATTATGAATCAACGAAGACATTTAATAACTATATTCAAATTTGACAGTGAACGACATCATGGAAATTTAGAAGATGCTATACTTGAAGCTCTTTTTAATGGTTTATATGACTTCCTAATAAATTAAAAAATATATAGTTTTTTTTGTATATGATTCTAGCTGCAAAATTTTCTGAAGGAATTCATAATGAACAACAATGTCGTGTAGCTGAACTTAAATTAGCTATGGTATGATTATCTTCTTATATAAATTATCTTTCTTTTTGTTGATTTATGTTATTAGGCATGGCAAAAATTAGATTATGCACAAAAACATATTCTTACAGATAGAACTATTTCTAAATGGGAAGTATGTGTATTTATGATCGAGGTTTTTTTTATTATATTTTTGTATGTTTCTATAAAAGAGGGATGATCTTCGTCGAGCTTTACTCGATGCTTTTCGTCGTGGCCATGTTGATTTTGTTGAATTACTTATTGAATATGGTGCATCACTGGAAAAATTAACAATTAACGATATTGAACAATTATATGAAACAGTTGATGTATGTATTATTCAAAAAATAAAAAAAGATAAATAAACGGAAATTTCTAGGCAGATAATGGATTACCCGTTGAGAACAAATTAAAACCAACACGAGATGATTATTATTCAATTTATTTTAATAAACAATTTCATGTATGTATGATTATCTTATAAGAAAGATATAAAATGTGGGTGTGAGCGTCATCTTTATCGCATACCCAAACACACACGCCCATCTCTCTAATAACTTCTACAGGAGCGTGACGCTCCCTACTGCTTTTGGACTAGCTAATCTTTCATATGAATTTGTTGATTTAGGTTGATAGTATATCATCGGATAAGAATTGTCCATTAGGACAAAATGCTCGTCGTGAACTATTTCTTTGGTCTATTTTTGTTGATCGATTTGAACTTGCTAAATATTTATGTTCAAAAACTTGGGTAAATCTTTATGAAATATCTCGCAGTGATTTATAATTATTTGAGATAGAATCAATCTGTTGCAGCATTAATCGGTGCACGAATATATCGATTAGCAGCTCAAACAGCAATTCATTCAGAAACAAAAGATGAATATGAAAAAAATGCCGAGTAAAATTGAAATATATAATTAAGAATAAGAATTGTTTGAATATTTTTGTTTTTTTTTGTTAGACAATTTGATAATTATGCAATGTTAATTATTGATCGATGTTTTGATAATGATGAATATTTTGCTGTTGAATTATTAAAACAAAATGCTGCAGCTTTTGATAATGTCGATCCATTAAAAGTAGCTCAAGAAGCAAATTGTCGAATTTTTCTAGCATCGAAATGTGTTCAAAGATATTTAGATAATCAATGGTAAGATTTATATTTAAAATTAAATTTCAATTTAAATTAAATTTTATATTAAAAGGTTTGGAAATATTAATTATAAACGAAAAGCAATTAATTTTCGAGTAAAACTTCTATATATATATATTTAATATGAAAGAAATTTAAAAGAAAATTTATATAGGTTTTTCTTGTTTCACTTTTCATTCCATTGATGCCTTTATTTTCTGTTTTCTTACCATATGTACAAGAACGTAAAGAGGTTAGTGATGTTTTTAATATTCAATTTTTCCCAAACAATATCGAAGGTGACTATAATCAATAATTGATTGTCTGATCAATATTCTTGAATAATGGAGAATCGTATTAGATGGCAGTTTCTAAATAAAAAGATATTATTGATTTAAGTATGTATATAAAAGTTCGTAGGACAGATAAGTGATATAATAATAACAATAAGTCATGTCTATATCATCAATGTAATACTGGATAAGTTAAAGAAGATATACCGTTTGCAACTAGTTCATTCATCAAGACACCTGACAGTTTGATTTTGTACATAGCTAATTAATCTATGATCATTTTCAAAAGTTATGCATTCACAGATCGATAAATAAATGAAAAAACTATTTTCCCCCAACGTCTGATTGCATTCTTTTACTTTGTAAGCTTTTGGCATCCTTTTTAAAGACACTTTATTTACAGAAAAAAACCAAGCTGATACATTTGTTTTAGTTTACTATTCGTAAATAGTTACATGATGATACTTGATCTGCCCAAGTTCTAATCGATTGCAATTGGAACTATTCCTTATACAGAAAAAGTGACATAGTAGTGTTCAAATGTCTGATGTCCTAATGATAATAAGAACTATTTCCGAGATAACTGCCCAAAGTGGTTCAGACTTTTTCGAGTATCATTCAATCCCAGTGTTTCGGCTAGGCGAATCGAAATTCAGGGTGGGCGGTATCCATCCGCTGGATAAAACACCGTCGGATCCTACTTATGGGCGAAATATCACCTCAAAATATCTGAATCACTTCGAGCGGTTTCCTCATTATTATTTGAAATAATGATTTTTCTATTAATTATATTATAAAATTTCAAGATAGTTTCATATGGAAAAAGTGGAAATGGTGTTATTATTCGTACAGTAATAAAGTAAAAAAAAAATATAAATTTGATATGTATTTATATTCTTAAATTTTTGCTTAAAGATCTGATCATGATGTTGAATATAATCGTGTTCGATGGTCAGATAAATTTATTTATTTTTATCAAGCACCTATTGTTCGATTTTATTATAATATGGTAATATGAATAAAAAAAAATTAATCAATATATCAATAATAAATTTTATTTCCTAGATCTTTTATATTCTCTTTCTTGGATTATTCAGTTATGTTCTTTTAATTAATTTTTTTCCATGGAATATTATGCTTGATAATACTACTCTTTCGTTAGGACAAAGCGAAATTATTCTTCATATATGGATATGGAGTTTAATTCTTGAAGAAATTCATAAAGTTAGATAAACAAAACAAAAATATTTATGAAATAAATAATTTTGATTATCTAGTTTTATTTAATGGAAAATCATGAATATTTTTATGATGTTTGGAATTTAATTAGATTGACAGCTATTGTTTTATATCTCATTGGATTTATGACAAGATTTGTATTAATTGAAGCTATTTTTACAATTTCAAAGTAAACGTTTTTCGAATAAAATTAATCAAAAACGAAAATTCGAATTATTTATAGAATCTTTCTATGTATTGATTTAATTGTTTGGTTTGTTGGAACTCTTCATCTATTTACAGCTTTTGAACGACTTGGTCCGAAATTATTAATGATTTTAAATACGGTTTATTATTAACACTATTTATTACTTATTCTTTTATATATTTTTCTATTCTTAGATGAAAGATCTTCTATTTTTTATTTGTTTTATTCTTATTTTTCTCTGCGGTTTTTCAATTGCATCATGGTCGTTGATAAATACAAAATCTCAAATAAATTGGATCTATGATGATCATGGAAATTTACTTAATATAACTGTCAATACTATGGAACATAAATCATGGTCATGGCAATTAATTAAAGATATAATTAATCATGGAATATGGAAAGTATTTGGACAAATCGATCCTATTCGTAATACAAAAAAATCTTAATTTCAGAAAATGACTATACTTCTTTTTTTTAAACATCTAGATGGTACAGATTCATATTCAAATATCGCATTTGTTTTAGCGATTATTTTTGTTGCTATTGCAAATGTACTTCTTCTTAATGTACTTGTTGCATTGTTTAAGTAAGATTATTTGTATATTTCAATTGAAGTGAACACTTCTTTATAGTGTTACTATTCAAAATGTTCAAGAACAAGCTCATGATTTATGGCGATATCAACGATTTTTAATTGTCAATGAATATAGTAAAAAAACTCCAGTGCCACCACCATTTAATACGATCTATTATCTATTTATCGCTCTTCGACATGTCGTAAGACTTTGTCATAATTGTATGTAATATTATTTTATAATTTATCTATACATATATATATTTATGTTGCAGTCGATAAGAATTTAACAATATATAATGTACCACAACAACAATGGAAAAGTAAATAGAATATTGATTATGAAAAGTAAAATAATAGAAATGAATTTTTCATAGTTAGCGATGTAATGCAACGTGAAAGTGCTATAGCTGATGATTTTTGGAGATATGCTTTGAAACATGCTAAGAAAAATCATATGGATATGGTTTTAGAAAATATTGAACGAAAGTAAGCATTATTTTTTGATAATAGATTTTTCTTTAGTTTATATTGTAGAATTGATTATGTTAGAAGTCATGTACAGAATACTAATAAACATAATTTTGTAAGATATTTATTCTTAATCTAGAAATAAAATTCATTATTTGTCTTTTTTTATATATTTACTAGAACAATCGATATATGAGCGATGAAAGTGACGTTTAAATATTTTTATTTTACATAAAATAAATCAGCAATATATCGGATTAACTTTATTATATTTACTTAAGTTGTGCATAAAAAGCATTTGAATCGAGATAATAGTTATTTTGCCTTTTAGCAAATCCATATTTCATCTATTTGTGTTATTTTACATGGAGTTCGTTATAAAATAAGAAAATGAGTAAATTGTTATTGATAATTCACACTCATTTGTTTTGCTTATATCATAACTTAAAATATCAAAAAAAGCAGTTCAATCATTATCTAGAACTAAAATGACCATACTATGTGATTATAAATACAATAATTTTACAATTTGTTTCTTATTCTATTAGGAAAATATCATTTTTAAAATTTCTGTTATCATTTTATTTGAAAAAAAACTAATTTTAATCTGTAGATTTAATTTTTTCTACTGGAATAAGTACAGTTTCTACTGTCTTGGAGGTTTTAGTAGTTAATTCCAATCGAACAGCATAGAACATATAAGTTTCAGGATCAAATATAGCAATTGCTCTACCATGAGTGTCATACAAATCATAGGTTGTGCCGTCTAGATCTACTTCTGGTGTTTTGTTTTGTTTGGCATGATATTGCATGGCGCGTATAATTTTTCTATCATACGCACCAGTATATGATCCACTAATTTTGACTACAAGTTCGCCTAATTTATTTATAAATATTCCTGCATAAAGTCGTTTCTCCTGTTCAACATCATCGGCATAAGTAAAAGCGAGAAATTCGCCAATGTTTGATTTCTCATCATATATAAATGATTCTCGAGTGAGAGGATCGAGTGGTTTGTTTAATTGTTCAATAATTAATGAACATTGTTTACCAGAACTATCTGTGACAACTATCTTAAATTTAAATGGTTGAGGTAAACTTCGATGCATTCGTTCACGTGCGGCATTATCAAGTCCTATATCACCTTTAACTCTTAGCGTTCCTCTAATAGTAAATGAAATTAATTTATCTGGTTGAATATTAATAACAGATTCTGTTAACCATCGAGGTTCTTCATTACGTATTGGTATAGGTGCAATAGCAACATCTTGACATTCACGCCAACCTCCATCATGCAT